AACAAGAGAGAACAAAAGGGAATGCCCTGCCACAGAGGCAGGGTGGGATGGGTGGGATGGGTGGATGGGGGGTGGGAGGGATGCTGGGATCCGTGGTGGTGGGAAGTGGGCACTGGTGGAGGGATGGGCATTTGATCATTGTGTAATTGAAACCCAAGCACAAAAATTTGTAAGTCTACAACTGTACCTCATATGTCTCACTAATTAAAAAAAAAAAAATGAAGGCATGCTAAGGCTGAATGTGGAAGGCCATCAGTGCCCAAATCTTCCTTCCCTGAAGAGGGCCCAGACTAGAAAGCTCGGCCAGGTCAGTTATAAATGACTGGTCAAGGAACAGCGCACATTCTACTTGGGTCATTTTCCTCCCAACGAGGGGAGCATAATTCTCTTCTTTCTCTTCATCGGGCTCTCTGAAGAGGGCTGTATTCTCTCTTGAGCACTTAAAAAAAAAAATCTCCCTTTTAATAAAAGATTTAACTGAACCTGGAAACCTGGGCAGAGGTCAGGACTGACTTCTCCAGCAAAGGGCAAGTCTCTGTTCCTAACGAAGGTCACGGCTCCCAGAAAACACAGGGAATAAGTTCTTAACCCACACGGACCAAAGAGATGTCAGGTGTATTCTGGGGCCACCACCCCTAACTCCCACTATGCACTTCCCCTCTAACACAGGAGCAAGCCAAGGAGGAGGGTGACACTCTACTGCAGCTGCCCCCCCCTCCCCGCCTGCCCCTAACCCTCCCCCCACCCAGCCTGTTCCAGTTGCTGGAACACCTATAGTTCTGGCACTGGCAACACCCATAGTTTTTCCCAAATATACACACCAATGCTAAAGGTTAATCTATAAACTAGGTATACCAAGAGAATAACCCTAGCTAATAATAAAACAGAAGTGTTAAAATACAGTATTGCAGAGGCTCAAGAGATAGTACAAAATGTAGGGCAGTTCACTTGCATGCAGTCCACCAGGGGTTGATGGGTGCCAAGTGGGTGCCATAAAGTCCCCCGAACTCAGGCCCAGGAGCAGACCCTGATCACAGACAGGTATGGCACAGAAATCAAAACCAGGAGCCAGAGTGATAGCACAGCAGGTGTTTGCCTTGTGCACGGCCAACTGGGTTCAATCTTTGGCATCCCATACGGTTCCCCGAGCACTGCCAGGAGTGATTCCTGAGTGCAGAGCCAGAAGTAATCCCTGAGCATAGCTGTGACCTAAAAACAAACAAAACAACAAAAACAAAACAAAACCCCCACAAAATAATAAAATGCTGTAATATGTTATGGGCTGGAGCTATAGCACAGCGGGTAGGGCGTTTGCCTTGCACGTGGCCGACCTGGGTTCGATTCCTCCATCCCTCTCAGACAGCCTGGAAAGCTGTGAGAGTATCCCGCCCACACGGCAGAGCCTGGCAAGCTCCCCATGTGGTATTCAATATGCCAAAAACAGTAACATCAAGTCTCACAGTGGAGACATTACTGGTGCCTGCTCTGGAAAATTGATGAACAACGGGAGGACAGTGCTGCAATATGTTATATGAATGTGGAGTATTTTTAAAAATAAATATTTTTGGGCCACAGTTGACAGTTTTCTAAGTAAAACCATTCAAAGCACAATGGCGATAATAAGGGAGCTACCAGATAGCAGAAATATTTCTAAGCCATGTCAATGGACCAGGTCAAGTTTCAGAAATACCAAAAATACTTGCTCCCAAGGTGAACCGGTAGCATCAATTCACATTAAAAATGCTAATGCTTCACTGTAAGTATTACTACAATGAGAAATTTTTAAAAAGCATCTAGGGCTACAGTTTGAAATCCAATATTGACACATTATTATGCTTAGCATTCAGTTTTTCTTTTACCAACAACCAAAATCAATTTTTCCCACTTCTGATTGTCCTTTCACATGACACCGATGAACACTGTTAACTTCTTTGAAGGACGAAATTATGACTCATTCAAATGTAAAAATGACTGAACGCGTGTTCAAGATTTTATTTAACTTGCAGAAAAACTGGGCAGATGGCTAAAAATCAGATCAAGAACACTGACGGTGCAAAAAAAAACCCAACACTACCGTTAAAATTTTAGGAGGACAGGCTTGGCAGACCAACCTACTCAACACTGCCATTATTCGCGGCTTTCTTAGAATTTGATAATCCAAAGGTGCCACGGGGGATGAGATCTAGACCGGCCAGCCTACGCTCCCACCTAAAACGCGCCCATTCCTGACAGTGTCCGACTCGCCTAAAATCTGCTGACACACTCCCACCCCTCCTTACTCGCCAGCTAATCTACGGTGGTTACTTTGTTTCAAAGTCTGCGGTTACCTTGTTTCAAAGACTCCACACCGCTGCGACTATTCACCGGGTCATCTCCCCCACCCTCCAGGATTCCAATGAACCGTCCGCTGCAGGACAGACCAGTCTCCAAGCCCTCGGGGGGCCGCGAAGATGCTGCCAAGCGCTCGAGGGGCTTGCTCACGGTGCAGCGGCTCAGGGTTCGATCCGCAGCCCGGCCGGGCGTCCCCCCGCCCTCCGCCCCACCCCCACGCCAAATCCCAATCAAAACCAAAGATCCTCAGACCTAGGCAAAGCAGCTCATGCTGTCAACGCACACACACCGGGATTCCCGGCTGGCCACTGATCACTGATGCCACTGATCACTGATGCCACTGATCACTGATGCCACTGATCACTGATGCCAGGCTGTCACTATTCTTCCTCTTTGCGGACGACCCTGCTGACGTGCTTCTGAGAGCCGGGCGAGCCGTCTGCAAGCACCAGCGGGACTGCGGGGACCAGCCGGCGACGCCGTCACCCACCCCGTGCGGCCCACCCTGTCCCCGCCCGGCTGGGGGGTCCAGTCTCCGCGGCCACGCGCCGCCGACCCCGCCCGCGCCCCCTCCCCGGGCGCCCTCCCACCCCGGCTCGGTTCCTCCTCTCGCACCTCTCGGGCTGGCCCATGCGGGCGGCAGGCGAGGCGTGGCGAGGCGAGGCAGGCTCGGCTGCTCGGCGGCACCGGCCGGGCCGAGCGGCACCCCAGGGTGGGCCTCCCGGAGCGCGGCGGGGCGGGCGCGCCCGAGCCCAGCAGGCCGGAGCGCTCAGCGACTTCCGCTCCCGGCGGCCGCCCGCCAATCAGAGGCGGGGCCCGACGTCACTTCCGCCCGGAAGCCCGGCACCCGGCCGGGCGGAAGAGGGGCCGGAGCGGAGCCGGAAGGGCGGGCTCGTGGGCGGGGCGGTGGCCGGAGCCGCGTGCGGGCCCAGGTGAGCACGGGCGGGTGGCGCGGGCGCTCCTGGATGCGGTTCCTCGCGGGGGCGGCGGCGGCGCGCGGGACGGGGTGAGCTGGGGCTCATCTCTCAGCGGACGGGCATCTGGGCGCACGCGAGCGCGCGGTGTCTGGGTTCTGAGGTCCCCGGGGGGCTGCGTCCGGGGCTGGCGCGTGCGGCCCTCGCGGGGTTGCGGGACGCGGAGCGCGCGGACCCCTCCGGAGGGTGCTCGGGTCCCCCGGAGGGTTGCGGGGTGCAGAGTGCGCAGACCCCTCCGGAGGATGCTCGGGACGTGCGTCCCCCGGAGGGTCGCGGGACGCGGAGCGCGCAGGCCCCTCCAGAGGGTGCTCGGGTCCCCCGGAGGGTCGCGGGATGCAGAGTGCGCAGACCCCTCGGGAGGATGCTCGGGACATGCGTCCCCCCCGGAGGGTCGCAGGACGCGGAGCGCGCAGGCCCCTCCGGAGGGTGCTCGGGTCCCCCAGAGGGTCGCGGGATGCAGAGTGCGCAGACTCCTCCAGAGGATGCTCGGGACGTGCGTCCCCCCCCCCCCCCCCCCCCGGAGGGTCGCGGGATGCAGAGTGCTCAGACCCCTCCGGAGGATGCTCGGGACGTGCGTCCCCCGGAGGGTCGCGGGATGCAGAGTGCGCAGACCCCTCCGGAGGATGCTCAGGACGTGCGTCCCCCGCAGGGTTGCGGGACGCGGAGCGCGCAGACCCCTCCAGTGGATGCGCAGGACCCGGGAGGAATCCTGCTTGCCAGCCCTTAACTCAGGGTTCGGGTTCGGGTTAGGGTCTCAAGGTCCGTGATCAGTGCTCCTTTTCCCCCGAAGCGTTGATGCCCTTTGCTTTGGCGGCGGTAAGTAAAGGATACGGAGTTAGTACTCAGCCCTCTCCAAAAGGCCCTGAGGTCGCTACCTGAAACACTGAGGAGCGGGTCCAAATTGTATGAAAGACGGTTTAAGTCTGGAGCCAAAGTTAGGACAGGCAAAAGGTATAAAAGGACTAATTTAGTTTAGTGATTTAAGACGAATTTGGGACTTAAACTCGATTGGATCCTGACTTGGGACTTAACTGGCTAAATGACTTGGAGCCGGCTAGTTCATAGTCTCTGTGCCTGGTTTCCTTTACTGTAGAATGAAGGTTAAAAATAACTAACCTCATTAGTTACTGTGAAGAATGTTTTAGACCCTACAATATGTTAGCTGCCTCTTCATTTGCATGGTTTACTATATTTAATTAAACCACTGTTCTGTGTGGTTTAATTAAATATAGTAAATGAATTCAAATATACCTAGCTATATGCATTCAATGATCTGTATCCATTTCCTTGAAAGCACTTTCTCCATTTTGGCTCTATATTAATTTTTTTTAACTAATGTAGTTTTTTACTACAATATTTTGGCTTTATTGGGTGTGAGGGGTGGGGTGGGGCAGAGGGCATCAGATCCGGAGATGCTCAGGGGCACCTCTTCGCTCTGCACTCAGGAATTACTCCTGGGAATGGGGGACCTTATGGGATGCTGGGGATTATGGGCCAACAGAACCCCAGAACCCCGGTTGGCCGTGCTCAAAGGCCCTACCCCCTCTACTCTATCACTCCAGCTCCTACTACAAGATTTTGAACCTGGTTTTGTCTTCGCTTCAGAAAACGATGGGAGGGATTTAGGAAGCAGAGTAAGTAGATTGGGTTAAAACCCAATTTGAATCACTCTTCTTGTTTTTTTTCTGTGCCAGGAGGAGTGGCGGTACTTATTTGGAAATCAAGACCTGCATGTGATGGAATAGTAGTTCTCAAGTTGAGAAACTGCATCAACAGTGAGCACAGCAGCAGTAGTGGGACCACTACTTGAGACCGTGTTAGTCATGGCAAATCTGGGCTCCACCTCAGACCTCCTGAATCAGTGATAGGGAGCCAAGGCAGAGGTGTTTCCAAACTGTTTTCATCAGCTCCCTTCTAAGACACAGGGTTGAACTTTGAGAACCTCTGTACAAGGTATGTACCATGAGCTCTGAAATTTTGTTTGACCCAATACTAGACCTCCATTGTCTCTACTATGGTGCCTGTCTAATTATATAATAAATGTTGCCTGATAAATATGTTCTGTCTTGGGCTCTCTTGGGCAGTGTGGAAACTGATGGTACATCAGAAATGAAAGGTTGAGCTGCAGAGATTTAGTGTGAGATAATTTAGAGGTGGACATGACAGAGTGTAAATAATTTGAAACGGGGAGATTCCACATTGAGTCAGCAATAAATGAAAAAAACAAGGATGCCCAGGTGTTTCATGCCAGGGATTTGTCTAGAGTAAATAAAGGTAGAGATGGCACAGGTTTTGCCACATTCGAAACCGTAGGTTCTTGTGAACTCAGTAGAACTCAGACTCAAAGAATACTGAGTGTTCTTTGTCCGTGCAGTTGCCTCAGCTTGGAGATCAGACGGTGCGACATGGGGCTCACCAAGCAGTACCTCCGCTACGTTGCTAGTGCAGTGTTTGGCCTTATTGGCAGCCACAAAGGCAATATTGTCTTCGTGACACTCCGTGGTGAAAAGGGGCGCTACGTGGCGGTGCCTGCCTGCGAGCATGTTTTCATCTGGGACTTACGGAAAGGGGAAAAGGTAAGCCTGAAGTCAGCGAAGTTGGAGTTGGTGACGGGTGTTTAAGGATGAAGAGGCAGAAGCGGGAGCACCCTGATGGATTAGGCACAGGTAGTACTTTTGTGGGTCTTTAGATCACTTCACTTGATCACTTGATTACCCGTTATTCATCGATTTACTCGAGCGGGTGTCAGTAACGTCTCCATTCATCCCGGTCGCGTGCTAGCGTAGCCCAGTGGCATCTGTTCGTTCTAGGAACATGCAGAGCCTCAAACCGATCATTCAGGGTCTTGACGAAGAAGTCTGACCATCTTGTAGGTGGGCGTCCATGCGATCTTTTGACGTCCCGTGGAATCCAATCAGTAATAACTCTAGTCCAGCAGTTGTCTGTAAACCTCATTACGTGTCCAGCCCATCTGATTTTTGATGGCTTGGCAAATGAGACAGCGTCCCTGATTCTTGACCTTCAACGGAGGTCAGAATTCCGGATTCTCTCTGTCATTTGAGTGAATCGTGATATTCCAAGCATAGCTCTTTCGATTCCTCTTTGGGAGACCCGAATAGCGTCTTCAGATGAGAAATATTTTTTTCCTTTGAGTCTAACGGTCAGGTTCTGTTGTGCTGTTTCTACAGTAAATCCTGAAAATCACAGCCGCATAGCTATTTACCTTCGAGGTATTTTTTTTTTTTTTGGTCTTTGTTTATTTTAGAGAAGCAAGGTCGTTTTTATTGAAACTTTTTCTAGAAAGATGTGAGGGGAGAGACAGGAAGGTATGTGTTCAGGAGTGAACACAAGCTTCTCGAGTGGAAACAGGCAAGCAAAGGAACATTAAGACAAGTAAGCGAGATGCGTGTTCTTGAGAGAATACGGGCATAAAGAGCCAGCCTGTTTTGGTATTTGTACCAGTTATTCTTCTTGATAGATTTGCTTTTCTTTGCTTTATTAGTTCTGATTTTTTTTTTTGTTTTTTCAAATAGGTCAATTTAAATAAGTGCCTTCACAACCAGTATGGAATATTAGGTATTTTGGGCTAGAGAGATAGTACAGAGGTTAAGGTGTTTGTCTGCATGCAGCTAACCCCAGTTCCATTCTCTGAACCGTATATGATTCCCCCAAACAATGCCTGGTTGAACACAGAGCCAGGAGTGAGCCCTGAGTTCTGCCATGTATGACCACCAAACAAAAACTAATTTTAGTACTTGGTGATTCGTTGCATCCATCCCTTAGCCTATCCACTTCTGCCAAATCAAATAAGAAGCCTTTTGATGTTGTTAACACCCTTTGTGATTCCCAAGAGGTTAGTCCTTTGCCACTTATAGCCAGTCAGGGTCTCTGGGGTTATAAACCAATAGCAGCACTTTGATGCATGTGAGTCCATCTCTATAAGATGGGCTCAGTTATAGCAAGAAGGTATTTCTCTTCTCGAAAACCATTTGATATTAACATACGATAAATAATTAGTGGTTATTTCCATTGTTTGGAGGAATTTTTTATGTTTTAACTTAGTGTAGAACTTAGGGGAAAATAATTTTAACTTTGTGTGAATATTTTCTTCCCCAGTTGTAGCACTGTAGCACTGTCCTCTTGTTGTTCATCGATTTGAGCAGGCAAAAGTAACGTTTCCATTGTGAGACTTGTTGTTACTGTTTTTGGCATATGGAATACACAACGGGGAGCTTGCCAGGCTCTGCCGTGTGGGCGGGAATACTCGCGGTAGCTTGCTGGACTCTCCGAGAGGGATTGGAGGAATCGAACCCAGGTCGGCCGCATGCAAGGCAAACGCCCTACCCGCTGTGCTATCGCTCCAGCCCTGCCCAATTGTACAAGTAATATATATATATATTTTTGGCTTTTGGCTCACACCCAGCAGTGCTCAGTAATTACTCCTGGCTCTGCTCTCACGAATTACTCCTGGCAGTGCTCAGGGGACCACATGGGATGCCAGGGTTCGAACCCAGGTATGCCACATGCAAGGCAGATGTACTATCATTCCAACCCCAATGATTTCTTTTTGTTGTTGTTGTTATAGAGATTTATTTGAATACAGACATTTATTTTCTTACAATTGTAACTACTTTTCCACCAGAATAGAAAAACCGAGTAATCTTGATAGAGATTCTATGTTCCTGTAAGTCTAAAATATTTCTTAGCTGCCCTCTTGCTAAAAAGATTTCTGAGGTGTGATTGGGATGGTAAAGTTTAAAAGCTGAGGTAAAACGATTTTGGGGGGCTCTGATTTATGTTTTATGAGATCATTTTATTTTTTTCAAACCAAATTATTAGCCACTGCTTAAGAGCATCAGTGGTATATAACGTTTGTCTGTATCCTCTTAATGCCTAGTCACAAAGCTGAGTCCAGGGCAGGCACCCGACCCCAATAATTTCTATATTAAAGGACTTAAGATGGATTATGGAATTTAATTTTTCCTCGGTAGAGTGATTTGAAATTATTGGTGTTTTTAATTTTCTGTGCCTGGCTTCTCCCGTGATGACATACTCAGCTCCTCACCTTCACTTCTTGACTCTTACGATTTCAGATCCTCATTCTTCAGGGGCTTAAACAAGAAGTCACTTGCCTGTGCCCGTCCCCGGATGGGCTGCACTTGGCCGTAGGTTATGAGGATGGCTCTATCCGAATCTTCAGTCTCCTGAGTGGGGAAGGAAATGTAACCTTCAATGGACACAAAGCAGCCATCACTTCTTTGAAGTATGACCAGCTGGGAGGCAGATTGGCATCTGGCTCCAAGGTGAGACTAAGAAACAGGTACTCAGACTATTACAAGCGTGAATGTTTTTTGCTCAACTTGTGGGGTGATGCAGTGATCCTCAGTGTGCAAAATTGTGTGCATGGGAGAACTAATACAAAAAGGGTGGATTGGCAAGTCTTTTGTTTTCTCCAGTATTCTCTGATAAAAGGCTCTTATGTAGACAGACAAGGTGAAGAATCGCACATCGACTGACTCTATAATGTTGGTGTGAAATTGTTGCCCAACAATATAATTAAAACTGTCTAAATATCCCAAAATGTTGGAGCTTTGGTGTTTCATATATATATATATATATATATATATATATATATATATATATACACACACACACATATATATATTGTTGTTGTTGTTCATGTTTTTCTGGAATATGGCCAGGATCTGAAAACATAAAAATTAAAATAGAAACACTAAGATTTTGAGAAACAATAATAAATGCATTATAAAGATATAAAAATACATTATAAAGCCACAGTTTCAGGTGTGTTATATTGATGTGTTATTAAGGCAACATAGATTATTACAGACAAATTAATAGCCTAGAAACAAATGCAGCACACTTCTCACTTTTTTTTTTTTCTTTTTGCTTTTTGGGTCACACTGGCATTGCACAGAGGTTACTCCTGGCTCTGCACTCAGGAATTACTCGGCAGTGCTCGGGGGACCATATGGGATGCTGGGAATTGAACCCGGGTAGGCCGCGTGCAAGGCAAACGCCCTACCCGCTGTGCTATTTCTCTGGCCCGACATTTCTAACCAGTCTGTTTTCAAGAACTCTAAAGCATGGGACATGTGCACAATAGAATGCTACTTGGCTTTAAGAGAAGGTGAAACCTTGCGATTTCCTGCCGTGTGGATGGATCTGAAGAGTGTCGTGCTGAGATGTCAGGAGAGGGACGACGCAGAATGATCTCACATGCAGGATGTGAAGGAACAGGAAGGGAATAACACATGCCCAAAGCGGCAGAAACTGAGAACAGACGTTCCGTAGGAAGCTTACTACAGGGGGACCCGAGGGCGTGACTGGGACGGGGGAGGGAGGCAGAAGCCGGTGTGTGTGTTGCTGCAGTGTTCTATGCATGCAGCCCTACACTAAGCAGTTACAATTTTGTAAAGCGTAGCTCCTAAAAGTGAAAAAATAAATTAGAGCTCTAAAGAAAAGGATGCTTTTGAATATTTAAATTTAAGATGCTTTTAAACTTAAGACACTTGTACATAGCCAAAGAGAACGAGGAAAGAGTAATATTTTTTTACGTGAAAGGGAAGGGTTAATATCCATCTACTAAGGGCGGGAGAGATAATCAAAGGGCTTCCATTCTCGTTCTGCTTGAAGGAGCTCTAGGGTGAATCCCTGCCACCACATGGTTCTAGCACCATGCCAGGAAGACCACCAGGTGGTCCTGAGCACCGCTGGGGCTCAAACCCCAAAACAAAAAATAACAGAGCCAAGGAGAGAGGTAAGGCCAGGACCAGGTGGTTCAAAAGGCGTGTATGCTTCCGGTAGTAACCACAGAGTTTGCTTACACTTTCTCCTTGGTGTTCAGAAATACAAGTCAAGATAGGTATTGAGAAATGCAGTTGTAACTGATAAACTTGGCGTTGATGTTTGAGGACCTGACAGTCTCCATAGCTAAGGTGATGGGAAAATTGGCCTTTACCTGCCTGTCCCTTAGGCCTGAAGGTTCATGCGACCTTTCTGGAGATTCCTTGACAGCATGAATCCTAGTCTTTAGAAGGAGATCTGTTTTTCAGCCCCCATAATTCTCTGTTTAGAATTTATTTTGAAGAGAGTTATATACAAAAGGAATGTTTATCTCTGTATTTGTCATAGCAGAAGATTGGACATTACTTAAGTGGCGTAAGTAATAAAGGGCTGATCTCCTTAGGGTAGATATGAACTTAAGAAAGAAGACAATGTCTGAAATACATGGAAAAAATGGGAATGTGTTAAGTGAAAAAAAGTAAGGGTGTAGCTGGAGCGATAGCACAGCGGTAGGGCGTTTGCCTTGCACGCAGCCAACATGGTCGACCCGAGTTCGATTCCTCCGCCCCTCTCGGAGAGCCCGGCAAGCTACCGAGAGTATCTCGCCCGCACGGCAGAGCCTGGCAAGCTACCCGCGACGTATTCGAGATGCCAAACACAGTAACAACAAAGTCTCCAATGGAGACGTTACTGGGCCCGCTCGAGCAACTCGATGAACAACGGGAGGACAGTGGACACACAGGACAGTGTTACAAAATAATATGAATAGCACCTGCATTTTCTAGTAGAAAAATAACTTGGCATTATACATAAATTCAGCCAGAGACTCGGATAATATTTGGTTGTTGGAATTTCCTGATATTCATTCCCTCTATTTTTCTGTCTGTTCTCCAAATGTTTTGCAGGGACTAGTTGTTGCTTTTGTTTGTTCGTTTGTTTTGTTTGTTTGTTTTTGCATCACACCTGGAGATGCACAGGGCTTACTCCTGGCTCTGCATTCAGGAATTACTCCTGGCAGCGTTCCAGGGACCATATGGAATGCTGGGACTCAAACCCAGGTCGGCTGGCCGACCGCGTGCAAGGCAAACACCCTACCCACTGTGCTATCACTCCAACCCTACTTGTTGCTTTTGTAATGGGATTACTGTAATATATTTGTTTTTAAGATAAATTTTACATGGTAAAATTTTGAATTTGACCTCTTGAATATTGTTCTTTGTATTTGACCTCTTAAGGACACGGACGTTATCGTGTGGGATGTGGTCAATGAAAGTGGTCTCTACCGTCTCAAGGGACACAAAGATGCTGTCACCCAAGCGTTGTTTCTCCGGGAAAAGAATCTGCTGGTTACCAGGTAAAGAAGGAAGAGTTTCCTTTCCAGAGCTGCTCTCTGGGTCAGTTTACTGACGGGAATGTCGGCAAAGAAATCTGCTTCATGTCTGACTCGTTTCTCCTATGTATTCTCAAGCTCATGTGCTAGTGTCTTTTGGTCCCGGTTTTCCTCTCCTCTGCTTCCCCCTCTGAGATGAGAGGAACTCCCCAGAGACAGAGCATTCTGTGATTCTCTTTTTGGATCTGTCATTTTTTCCCCTGATCCCAGCTTTTCCATGTTCCTTAACCTTCGATCTAGAATGACCTCGAGTCTACTTTCTGGGCGCCCGTTGATAATGGGGAAAACAGGTTTGGCTTGCCTTTTGGAAAGGATCAAGTCTTTGTTTTGGTGGGTGATCGCACCTGGCAGTGCTTGGGAGTTACTCCCTGCATGGTGCTTAGAGATCAGACCCAAGGACTCCCGCAGGTAAAGCCAGTGCTCCGGTCCTTCGATCCCTCTGCCGGCCCCAGTGCTGTCCTCCCTAAAGAAGGTTTGAGAGCTGCAGGTTTGTCCCATAGTGACTCGAGCTGGTGAGACTGAGATGCTGTGAAGGACTCGGCTGCTGTTCCATCTGTGGCTTTGCCCGTGTGGGAGTGAACTGGGCGGTCTTGGTTCTCATCCACAGATGCTGTGTGTGCGTGGCTGCTAAAATAGACAGGCTTGAACTTCAGTGTGTCTGATGAAGTCATGAAATTTACATACCAATGGTACAACATGGAAAGTATCATGCTAAGGAAAATGAGTCAGAAAGAGAGGGATAGACATAGAAAGATTGCATTCATCTGGGAGATATAAAGTAACAAAATAGGAGATTAATACCCAAGAATAGCCGAGATCAGCACCAGGAGGATTACTCCATAGCTTAGAAGCCAACCGGGCATTCTAGGGGAAAGGGCAGCTCAGATAGAGAAGGGAACACCAAATAAAGGGTGTTTGGAGGATCCTCCCAGGAGGGGAGATGCATGTCGAAAGTGGACTATGGACTGAACATGTTTGCCACTCAATGCCTCTTTTGCAGACCACAACACCCAAAAGGAGAGAGAGAACACAGGGGATTGCCCTGCCACAGAGGCGGGGGCGGGATGGGGGGCTGGGGGTGGGGGGGATATTATCCATGGTGGTGGAAAATGGGCACTGGTGGAGGGATGGGTATCTGATCATTGTATAATCGAAACCCAAGCACAAAAAAATTGTAAATCTACAACTGTACCTCATGGTGTTTCACTAATAATAATAAAAAAAAAAAAACAGTGACTGGGAGGTGACAGGGGGACCTGCTTAGGATTCCAGCCCAGAGAGAACCCTGAACAGTGTAAGTTTAGAAAACCGAGATCATCTAGAGAGAATGGGATGAGGAAACAGGAGTAGACACAGCTCAAGTGAAATGTGGTTAAAATGATTCAGGCAGTGGGGCATAAATTCAGGTTTGCAGCACAGAGATGGATTGAAAGGAGCTGGACACAGAAATTGAGCAGAGACACATTTGCAGGACACAGACTGGCTGGACTGGGAGACAGAGCAGTCTGGAACAGGCTGGAACAGGCTGGGTTGTGGGTGTGGTCTGAGGAAGTTTGAGCCTCTGATGGCGGCAGTGGTGGTGGGTCACATTCAGTGTTCTTTTCTGCTTGCTGGTTCATTTGTTTTGGGGTCACACCCAGGGACGCTCAGGGGTTACTCGTGAAGGAGACAATGTTATGAGGCTTCATGGTGGGATTATATAAGACAGACTTTATAGATATTGCCAAGGAAGGAGGTTGTGCTAGATTTAAATAAGAGAAGAATCCAGGGCTCTGCACTCAGGGATGACTCCTGGCAGGCCCAGGGGACCATATGGTACGTCAGGGATCAAACCCTGGTCAACCGCTTGCCAGGCAAACGCCCTCCCCACTGCACTATCTGTCTCGCCCCCATTGCCGTGTTCTTTTCCACCCTGAATTCAGTCGGAAATTACTCTGGTGCTTACAGGTGAAACATCTTATATTCCCCCTAAGAATAGCCTTCTGGAGCACCACAAGTCTTTTTCTTTCCCTTTTCAGTTCTGTTGAGGCGCCATTGGCTTTCACGCATGCCGTGTTCCAACACCCCCACAACAGACTGTCCACTTCCCTCTCCCAAGGGCTCCGATGATGTGAACAGCAGGGAAGGCTTTTACTTTGCATGAGGCTGACCCAGGTTCAGCCCCCGCATCCCGTATGGTTTCCTGAGCATCTGGAGTGACTCCAGAGTGCAGAGTCAGGAGTAAGTCCTGCCAGCTGTGGTGCATAAAAAAATAAATAAAAATAAAAGAAGAGGTAGAATCGTCCTGCAAGGTATTGCTTTACACCAGTGTCACCCAAAGTAGGAGTTACTGTCCTCTGTCTCCAAGGGGGGCAGTGTGGCCTGGAGTGCACTGGGAGGAGGGCTTTCTGTTCCCGTAAAGAAGGTAGGATTGGGGAGGAGGGCACTGGACGTTAGGGGACAGCACACCAAGGAAGTGTGGAGACTGTCTTGTATGTTGCCTGCCCACCCGCCTTTTTTCTTTCCCTTTGCTGCTGTTGGGACTTCAGTCCTTGGTCGCAGAGCTCACTGAGGGGAGCACACTTGTGGGCCTTCAACACGCTTGGTTGTGGCTGCAAGGATCCCTGTGGCAGTACCACTGGGCCGGGATGGCGCCTGGCCTATGGGACAGTGCAGGGGATCAAACATGTGACTTCATACTTGCAGGTCAAACCCGCTGTCCCCAGCCACGTCCTAAAGATGACATTTGTCTCCCAAAGGCAGCTGGTGAATCCTGGATTTTCCTGAAGACGCACTGAATGAGTCTTCCTAGGAGACTTTTTAATTATATTAAAGTCCCGTGGTTGTCAGAGTTAGTCATAGTTGCGTTTTAGACGTAGTGTTCCAGCACCAATCCCACCACAGGCGTCAACTCCCCCCGCCATCGATGTCCCCTGTTCACTCCCACCTCCCCTGGCCTGCCATCTTTTTGAATGATTTCAGTGTTACTGACTCTGACTTGGGCATCTGGCTGTACCGGCCCTTTATCCCACCGCCGGATCCAATCCCCTTGACCCCTGCCCCCTGTTCCTTCCCATCTGCCTCTTCCCTCTAGATTTCTTTCCTCCTCTGGCCTCCTCTCTGTCCCTAATGAGATTTCTTTTTCCTCCGCATCTTCTCGTAGTGGGAAAGACACCACGGTGAAGTGGTGGGACCTCGATACGCAGCACTGCTTCAAGACAATGGTCGACCACCGAACTGAGGTACGCGGAGGGTGATGACCCAGGGAGACAGTCTGAGGCAACGGGCCAGGAGGTCCTTCCATCAGCTCTGGGGTGGCTCTTGGTTCCTGCTGCTCAGGTCAGTCCTGAGCTGCCCTGAGAGAGGGACAGTCAGTGTGGGGGGAGGGGTGGCCATTGGGCACCGGTACACGGCTCTGGCAGTGAGGGAAAATCGACTTTGGATGAGTTTGACCCCTGCAGAATGAGCCAGATGTGAGTTTCCTCATTGGGTAATAAGCTTCTGCCATCACAATTGTAGGAAAGTTTGACAATGCGGCCTTCATGGCGCTTTCCCAGAGACACGTGACCTGCAAGCTGTGGCTACTCTGCTAGTTCCCTGATTCATTTCAGATCACTTCACTTAATCACTTAATCCCCGTTATTCATCGATTTACTCGAGCGGGTGCCAGTAACGTCTCCATTCATCCCGGTTGCGTGCTAGCATAGCCCAATGGCGTCTGTTCGTTCTAGGAACATGCAGAGCCTCAAACCGATCATTCAGGGTCTTGACGAAGAAGTCTGACCATCTTGTAGGTGGGCGTCCACGCGATCTTTTGACGTCCCGTGGAATCCAATCAGTAATGACGCTAGTCCAGCGGTAGTAATGGCTCTAGTCTAGTCAGATCAGGAAGGATTTTCTAAATCTTTGCACCCGCTTGCGGGCTCTGTCTGTGCCAGGCTTTGCAGACGTACCTGGAGACAAAAGGGAAGGCCAGGCAGAGCACTCGATTGTTGGCTTAGATCACTGTTATTTTCGTTGTTTAGTTCTTGAATCTCTGCAGCTAAAAATTAGGCAGGGGATGTTGCCAGAGCTCCTCTTACTTGCTGGGCTCTGCAGAAAGCAAAACAGTGTGAGAATGAAGGTCTTCATCTGAGCGCTGTCTGGTTGAGATTTGTGCTGAGACGTTATCTCAGTTCTGTTTTGTGGGGCCTCCCAGGCAGTGCTCAGGGAGCACGGGTGTCCTCCTGACAGTGCGCCACATTGGGCCCGGTGATGCTCAACCCAGCAGTTCCGGCAGCCTCTGGGAGTGCACCCAGGAGTGCTAGAGGCAGGAATGGGTGGGGGCGGGGGGAGGTGTTGTAAATACCAGAGCACGTATGGCTGATAGCAAAGTCAAATTCCTTTTTTTCCTAGTTTTTGAGCTGCACCTGGTGGTGCTCAGGGTTTACGCCTGGTTCTGCACGCAGGGATCAGGATCCCTCCTGATGGGGATTAGGGACCATATGGGGTGCCAGGGATCCAGTCTGGGCTGGCCACATGCAAAGCAAGCACCCTGCCTGCCATCCTGTCTGGCTGTTGAAATTTCATGCACAATGAACCACCCGGTGATGTGGTTCCGCCTGGGCCCTGCCATGCTCAGAGCAAGGATGCCTGGTACAAGTGAGACAGATGTCCCTGACCCTCCCCCATTCTGAATTTAAAGATAGAAAGTGCCAGAGGAAATGCTAGTTTTCCTATAAATATATATTTTTTTCATTCATCATCCTGTTATTCGTCGATTGCCTCGAGCAGGCCCCAGTAACGTCTCTTTCATCCTAGCCCTGAGATTATATTCAAGGCTCTTTAGGAGAATGAGACCCATCATCGTTACTGGTATTTGGCATATTGGGGACGCCACGGGGAGTTTGCCAGACTCTGCCCTGTGGGCAGGCTACATTCGATAGCCTGCAAGTTTGTCCAAAGTAGGAATGAGATAATAAGATGTCATAAAAAGATGTCCTGATAAGATGTCGTTCGCGGCTGCACGGTTCCAGGAGCTGGATTTTATAGTCTCTGAGTCGTGGCCGCTGATGGGATTACATGGCGCCATATATAGGAAATGTGTATATATATATATATATATATATATATATATATATATATATAGTGTAGTTGCACCACACTTTTTTTTTTAAATAAAACTTAAACTTCTTTTGTTTTTGGTTTGGTTTTCGGACCACCCCTGGCTCTGTACTCAGGGGTCACTCCTGGTGGGGCTTGGGACCATATGGGGTGCCAGGGATCATGCCAGCTGTGAGCAAGACAAGCACCCTACCCACTGTACTATCTCTCTAGTCCCACTCAAGTGCCTTTTGTTCTTTTTTTTCTTCCCCCCAACATTAGTTTTGTTTGGGGGCCACACCTGGTGTGCTCAGGGCTTACTCCTGGAGGGGCACAGGAGACCATATGAGAGGTCGAGGATCGAATCCTGGCCAGCAGCAAGCATGCAGGGAAAGCCCCCTACCCGCCGTATCACTCTGGCCCTCCTCGAGTGCCTTTTGCAAAGGTTTCCTCTTTCTGCTCTTCTAAATTTTGATCATGCACTCTTGCAGATGTAGGATTCTGGGATATCAGGTACTTTTGGGACATTCTGAAAGCACTTTTGGCCATATTGTCTTAATCCTTTTAATATCTTTGTAGGTGTGGGGATTGGTTCTGGTGTCTCAAGAAAAGCGACTCATCACGGGTTCTTCTGACAGTGAGCTGCGGGCCTGGGACATACGCTATCTGGAGGAGGTAACGGCCTTCCCGACTGGGGCCGATGCATGTTTCAGTAGCTGTCGGGGCTCGTTGGAGTTCAGGTGTCATCGGGTTCTAGAAATTCTGCTGACCTAGCTGGCTCATGTGGGCACACGATTCAGAGCCATCCGTCTTCACTGGGGCATTGCCCTTGTTTGTTTGAACTGGGGAGAATCACTGTAGACTTACGGGTCTGGTCCCCCTAATTAAATTTGCTGTTTGTGGACCTCTCAAGTTGCTGAACTTTTTTGGGGTGTCCTTGGATGGATTTTATAATATCTGTGATCCTTTCCTGCAAACAAGAATTTGTATGGAGTGTTTGTGTGTTTGTAAGTCATATATTCTGACACAAATCTTTCCAGATTTGAAAGGCTTCCTGTGGGGAGACTCTGGGCCTTTGAGTCGACTGGAGAGCGGGGTGTGGCGGGCCACCAGGTCCATAGTTTGGTGGTTTCTACATTAGCAGATGAGGGTTGTCTTTATTTAAGGAGAAAACGTCACCCCTCGTGCAGTGCCTTTTTCATTACTAATGATGATTTGAATCTCCCTCTGAAGTGTGATAAACTTTTTTACAAAGTTTTTGCAAAGTTAGAGAAGAGTTGGTCATCATTTTCTCATTTTGTTACTACACAGTATTTCAGATATCATTGTAAATTACTATTTTTTGTGTGGGGGGTTATTTACAGGGGGTCGTGGGGGCATGCCCACCTTCCTCGGGAGTTACTCCTGGTTCTGTGCTCAGGGATCACTCCTGTTAGGGCTCAGGGATTCTGGGAATTGAACCCAGGCTGGCTGCAAGCAAGGCAATTGTACCTGCTGTGCAATTGCTCTGGCCCCAAAATATCAAAGAAAATTGCTGAATGCAGTGCAGTGAGTGATGATTGGTTTGTGTTTTCTCGTCTCTTTGTAATACTCTTTTCATACATTCCTATCTTGCAGCGATGTAACCAGTCCCTAATTGGAAATGATTAGTGGCAATAAGTTGTTTCTAAGCTTTTAGAGTGGAATCATCTGGAACATGTGTTAACACTTTGATTTTTTTCTTCTTGTTATGAAACAGGTTGAGGTTCCTGAAGAACCAGAGCTCAAGAGGGCCAGAGCGTCTTCACCCGGGGAACAAGACCTCCATGAGACCCACGATGTGTCCCTTGAGGCGGATGAATCTCCAGAGGATGTAATTCATTTCTAATTGAATTAATTCATTTATTTTGAATTACTTGCGTCGTGGTGACTACTCCTGAGTGGGTGCTGTGGTAGGGACAGTCATGCAGCACCAGGGACCGGCCCGCAGGCCTCCTGCATGCACCCCCGTGCAGTCCAGCGCTCCCTCCAGCCCTCATTATTCATTCCTGTGTCATAGTTTCAATTGAGTTTAGCGATGGGGAAAATGAGAATTACAGGGTGTTTTTGAGTGTGCAACCCTCATTGTCATTTTGTTTGTAACCATAGTTCCAGCGAATCATCTTTTCAGAGGCGCTGCAGAAATCACATTTCACTCTGCTTCCTTTCTTATTTTTTTACAGTTACAAAGCTTTTTTGTTTGAGTTTCAGTCATACCCACCAGTGCACATTTTCCACCACCAATGTCCCCAGTATTCCCCCTCCCATCCCAACCCTCCCCCTGCCTCTATGGCAGACAGTTTCCCCATACTCTCTCTCTACTTTGGGACATTATGGTTTGCAGTATAGATAACTGAGAGGCTATCATGCTTGGTCCTTTATCTATTTTCAGCACACATCTCCCATCCCGAACAATCCCTCCAACCATCCTTGTCTTACTGATCCCTTCTCTGTTCCAGCTGCCTCCTCCAGCTCGTGAGGCAGGCTTCCAACTATGGGGCAATATTCCTGGCCTTTATGTCTACTATCCTTGGGTGTCAGTCTCATTATGTTACCCTGTATTCCACAAATGATTGCAGTCATTCTACTGTCTGTCCCTCTCTTTTTGGCTCACTTCACTTAGCATGATACTTCACTCTGGTTCTTTTGTAGCGCATCCTTACCTGCAGAAAAGCTGGGTCCCTAATGCGGGAAGGAAGGGACAGAGTCGTGAACCTCGCTGTAGACAGAGCAGGCAAGATTCTGGCTTGTCATGTGAGTACCAGACTTGGGAGAAGAATGACAAACGTCAGGTGGTTCCTTTCAGAAATTCTTGCCGTATTCAACGTAGAGATGGATTTTTCTTTGCGGGTAGGGCGTTTACCTTGCACGTGGCTGACCCAGGTTCGATTCCTCCATCCCTCTCGGAGAGCCCGGCAAGCTACCGAGAGTATCCTGCCCACATGGCAGAGCCTGGCAAGCTCCCCGTGGTGTATTCGATATGCCAAAAACAGTAACAAGTCTCACAATGGAGACGTTACTGGTGCCCGCTCGAGCAAATCAGTGAACAACTGGAGGACAGTGCTACAGTGCTATGTTAGAGCAACAGTACAATGACCACTACTACGGTTAGCACTCATTTATTAAATGCTGTTTTTCTAAGCAATGTAAAGGCACATTTTATGTTTTTATCTAAAAACTCATTTTGCTTAGTCTTCAAAATACTGCTCTGACTGTGAAGTGGTAAGAACACAGACCAGTGAGATTAAAGTTGTCCACGATAGTACAGCTGGTAAGGGGAGGAAAAGGAACACGGATTTGTCCTGAGAATGAGTTCTACTTATAGCGAACTGACAGTCTTGGATTCACATCAGTCTTTGCCTTCCTAGGGAACAGATTCTGTGCTAGAAGTGTTTTCTATCCTTTCCAAAGAGGAAATTCAGAAGAAAATGGAAAAGAAGAGGAAGAAAGCTAAAAAGAAAGCAAAGTATGTTTTTTAAATACTTATTAATAAGTATTGTGGTGTGGGCAGCATTATTACTAATCAGAAACTGGCGTCTTTAAGGTTAATAAATGCTCTATTAACACTTATTATTAAGAATAGAGAAGATTTTGTACCATTAGACGAAGCTTTAAGTTCCTTTCTTGAGAATGGCTTCCTGACTGGCATTTTCCTGCATCCTGTCTTAGCCACACATAGCTAAAAAGACTGTACGGAGATTTCTAGAAATAGCTTCAGTACCATTGAATTCTCAGACCAGCAATGTGACTCACAACCTCAGCTGTGCAGGAGGAAGCTGGGATGCCCAGTGTCCGTGTCAGACTATGAAAACTGCCTCGACTGTTTATGTGACTAAGGTTGGCCTTGAAAAAGATCATTAGAAATCACAGAAACCCATTTCGCAGTCACTGAAATGCACTGTCTCGAAGCAGTAATTTACCTTCTAACTTGGCAAATCTTTTGAAATCTAATCTGCTTTACCCGATACGGCTGTTTAGTAAGTGCTGGATTTTCTAAAAATGTTTACTGGAAACACTTCAGTGTAATATTGTGAATTACTAAAACTTATCCCAGAAGTATGATGGGCTACTTCTTGAAGTTTCTGCTTGGTGTTATTCATTATCTGTGAATCTGCTGTTAGCCAAACATTTCCACCTGGACACTGTATTTTAATTCTCATGGCTGTACTGTGTGATAAGTGATTTTTCCAGGATCACTCAGCTTGTTGTCCTTAGAGCCAGAACTTGGACACTCAGATGACAGTAAGACTTTTTCTAGAATGTAACTATGTTGTACCTTCTCCTCACTCCCCACCCCCAAGATTAAATTCTGACAAAGGGGAAGAGGAAGATCTTGAAGTCACTGTTGAAATGACATTGCAAGATGAAATCCAACGGTTGACCAATATCAGAACTTCTGCCAAAATCAAGTGAGTACAAAGGAGTAACTCAGGTACCTCAGAGAAAGCTTGGAAGTAGTGAAATGCCAAGCTACAAAGTTATGTTGACCTGTGATATTTATAATCAGTCTTTATGGATTTGGGACTAGGATCGGTGGTCTTTGGGGCGGTACGTGGTGGTACTTGGGAGATCATATATCATGCCCGGGGTTGAACCAGGGTCAGCTATATGCAGGGCAATCGCCCTACCCACTGTGCTATCTCACCAGCCCCATCTTTCTGGCGTATATATCCGGAGTAGGATGGCGGGGTTGGGGGACACCTGCTTGTCACCAAGACTTACTCTTCTCACAATGCTCCCACATACTTAGCTCTTTTTTATTATCTACTGTTTCTGGGGTAAGATTGGGCTGCTGCTGCTTTAAAAACAAACCAGCCAACCAAAAAAAAAAAACACCCTATGCTTCATGCTCATAAAGGATTTGAAGGATTTGGTTAACTTATGAAAATGTCAAAACTTATTTCTTTGACTTAAATGCCTTTGATTTAAGTACCAGATTTCTTTGATTTGTTTAAAAGCCCGCACGGCAGAGCCTGGCAAGCTACCCGTGACGTATTCGATATGCCAAACACAGTAACAACAAAGTCTCCAATGGAGACGTTACTGGGCCCGCTCGAGCAAATCGATGAACAACGGGAGGACCGTGATCGTGACCATGATCGTTTAAAAGCTTCTAAGCTTGATGACAAGAACTGCTCTCTTATTTGTAGCCTTCATGATAGTCGTTCAGGTGCTGTGTAGACTGAGTGTTGCGAGGCCTTTGTCCTAGAAGGAAGTTAACTCTGTGAGCTCCACACTTGTGCCTTGTTTTCTCCTGCAGATCCTTTGACTTGATCCATTCACCGCAGGGAGAGCTGAAGGCTGTCTTCTTGCTGCAGAACAACCTGGTGGAATTGTATTCACTGAACCCGTCGGCGCCCGCTCCTCAGCCCATCAGGACCAGCAGAATCACCATCGGGGGCCACCGCAGCGACGTCCGGACCCTGTCGTTCAGTTCGGACAATATCGCTGTCCTCTCCGCCTCGGCCGAGTCTGCGAAGATATGGAACAGGTCTGTAGGGAGAAGGGGCTTCCAGAGCTGTGGGCTTGAGGTACGGACATGGGTGTGGTTGGTCGTTTATGTAGATAAATAGATGATCTCAGGTCTCCCATCCAGCTTCCCTACCATCCTTTATCAAGGCAGCTCTTGTCCTTTCTTGGATGAACTGTGTGTTCTTAACCCCGCGGCCCCTAAGCTTTCTTTGACACTGGCCTTGTACTAATGACTCTTCTCTTTCAAACTTCCTTGGACTTCCATCACTTCTACTTCCTCTGCTGTTTTTTTTTTCTCTTCAGCCTTCACTGGCTCCTTCCTGTCTTTCTGATGCTTGAATTCTGTGTCTGGCCACTTGGAACCTTTTCTTGCTTTTTGTGAGGTTTATCTCTCTGCTACGGACGTGAGGTCTTATGTCTGTTAACTGCATGTTTCTACCTCTAGCATTCACGTGTTGTTGAATGTGAGTTCGCAAAGTAAAACATGGGGGCTACCGCTGCTAGGTTCCGTGGCCCAAAGCCGCATCCCCACCTCCCCAGGCCTCCCCAGCAGGGAGACAGAGACAGGGAGACAGGGGACCACAGTCTGATGGTGGAAATGGCCCATTTAATGCAGAGCTGCTAGCATACTAGTAGAACATCTGAGGGGGCGGGAGGTAGGACATAGGTGTGATTGGTCATTTACATAGAGAAACATTTGGCAGAGGAAGTTCTCTTGGGGAGATCAACTCAAGAAGACACTCTGTCTCCCAGGGACAACTACATTGCTTTCATCTTTCCCTCTGGTTGTATATTATCAATAGTTGAAGTTGTTTGGATAAACGCAGTAAGAAACAAAGATCCTGGGCTGGAGAGATAGCACAGTGGGAAGGGCGTATGGCCGACCCGGGTTCGATTCCCAGCATCCCATATGGTCCACTGAGCACCGCTAGGAGTAACTCCTGGGTGCAGAGCTAGGAGTAACCCCTGTACATCACTGAGTGTGACGAAGGAAGGAAGGGAGGAAGGAAGGAAGGGAGGGAGGGAGGGAGGAAGGAAGGAAGGAAGGAAGGAAGGAAGGAAGGAAGGAAGGAAGGGAGGGAAGGAAGGGAGGGAAGGAGGGAGGGAGGGAGGGAGGGAAAGGGAAGGAAGGAAGGAAGGAAGGAAGGAAGGAAGGAAGGAAGGAGAGAAGAAGGTAGGGTGGAAGAGAAGAAGGAAGGAAGGAGGGAAGGAAGGAAGGGAGGGAGGGAGGGAAAGGAAAGGAAGGAAGGAAGGAAGGAAGGAAGGAGAGAAGGAGGTAGGGTGGAAGAGAGGAAGGAAGGAGGGGAGGAAGGAAGGGAGGGAGGGAAAGGAAAGGGAAGGAAGGAAGGAAGGAAGGAAGGAAGGAGAGAAGGAGGTAGGGTGGAAGAGAGGAAGGAGGGAAGGAAGGAAGGAAGGAAGGAAGGAAGGAAGGAAGGAAGGAAGGAGAGAAGGAGGTAGGGTGGAAGAGAGGAAAGAAGGAGGGAGGGAAGGAAGGAGGGAGGGAGGGAGGAAGGAAGGAAGGAAGGAAGGAAGGAAGGAAGGAAGGAAGGAAGGATGGATCCCAACACTTGGTTCTCTGGACTTTGAGAGCAAGCAAGGCTTTTCCCTTAAATCCCAGACTAAGCCCTCAGATCAGTTCCACTTGTCCTTCCCCATGGGGGTCTTGTCTCTTAAGTCATAACAGCTTGTGTCAAGACCATGCATTTATGCATGTCCCATTTCGATTGCAGGGTAGCTTTGCCCTGGGTCTAACCCAGTCCCACAGAGAGACCTCACTTTTCGGGTGTAGAAACTACAGCAACTGAAGCCTGAGTCAAGTAATTATGACCAAGTAATTATGCCCAGGAGCAGATAGAGTTCGGAGTCACTCAGCTCCCAAATATTAGGAGCATAGCATTAATGGTCTTTCTGTGTTTTTAAACGAAGAACATTGCTCTATGGTAAAACATAAAAGGTGATAGGGGAAATGGAAAAACAGGTACAAATGCTAAGTTCAGATCTACCAGAAAGTTTTGGCTTATAAGTAATGAAGACTGACTTGGGGAACTGTGACAACGAGAGGTCAAACACAAAGGAAAGGTTAAAGACAAGCTTCAAATTAAGGATGTTAGCAAGGGCACGATAAGCTTCTCCGTAGGAGGAAAAGGGGCAGTTTGCAGATGAAGCCTAAAACACTTTGGGTTAATACCCAACAGCTGAGCACCAGTCTCCTCTCTCTCTCTCTCTATTCTTTCTTTTTATTTCTCTTTAGGTGTCTAATGGGCATCTCAAATTTTCAAAAGGCTAAAAACCCATCTCCTCTCTAACCTCCTCCCCGGCTCTTCCTCCCAACTTTTCCAGCCTGGCACATCCGTAGTTCCTCAGACCTATCTCGGTGCAGCTCCGCGAAGCCCACCATGCATCTCCTATTGTTTGTCTCATCCTTTAGGAAATGCTCAGTTCCCCCTTTAGGACTGGGTGAGACTCAAGACACATCTTAGACCTGTTGCTGCCCAGGACTGCGCTCGCTCCCTCCAGGACACTGCTGTGCGTCCTCACGGCTCTTCCCCGCCTTCCTGTCCTGGCCCCGGGACTGCCCACGCGGGGACCCGCCTGTCACCTCCCCTCTGGAGGGTTGCCAGGCTTCCCGATATTCTCCCTGCTCTCGTGTCCCTGTATCCCTGCACGCCAGTGGTTTTCTAGCTGCCAGTTCACAGGGGTTAAAAAGGTTGAAAACTGTTGCCAGGGTCACTTCCAGTAGAGTGAACTGCAGCTCACTGGAATCGACAGCCAGAGTCCCGGGGCAGGAGGGAGATCCAGGGGCCGGGGCTGCGGGCGTGCCTCCTTCCAGAACTCAGTGCCGGCCCCACCATGGTACGCTCTCCCGAGCAGCTCCCTCCGGGTGGGGGCCTGGTGCCGGGTGTGATGTCCCACCAGGAGTTGGGCCACGGGGGCCCAGAAATCATGAGGAGTATCCCCTGGGCCCCTGAGCACTTCTCGGGAGCACTTCTCGGGAGGTATCCCCTCCCCCACCCCACATCCCTGAAAGGGCCAAAGGTCTTACAGATCTTGTTTCTTAACGACCTTATGCCTCAGTGCAGCTCCCCGGCCTTTTGCTGTTCCTCACACACGACAGGAGCATGGCTCTGTGCTCCATGTTCTTGATGCCTCGAACCCTCTACCTCTTTTTAAAAAGAAAGGAGGGTGGAGGTGGTTCGGGTCATTCCTGAACGTGTTCGGGGCTTACTCCTGGCTCTGTGCTCAGGGATCATTCCTCTCAGGGCAGGGGGTGAGCTGCACATCCAGTGCCTGGGAATCGGACTGGGCTCTGCTGTGTGCAGGACAGCCTCTCGCCCCTGTAGCTGTGTCTAGCGACTCTGTCCCCCTTCCTCTGCAGACACTCTCCCTCTCCTAAGAAATGACAAAATGCTGTTCTCTATCCACCTCGCTCTCGTCGTCCTGGACTGTGGTTCTCCAAAGCACTGAGCACCAGATACATCAGTGATTTTTGCGTTTTATTCCCCAAGGACATGACAACTTACAAGACTTGAGGCCCTTTTCGTTGAATTCAGTGTTGTGTCTTTATTACCTAGAGTTCCGTAAATGTCGATGGAATGAAACGGTATGTTTCATTCAACCAGGGAAATGAAAGTTTAGAGATTTGTTAAGAGTGCTGATTTAACTTGGAGTCCTGTGAACTCGCTTCTCAGTAGTGGCAGATCAAGTTCTGGCAAGCTCAGCAAATGGTTTGCCATGCCTTGCTTTCTGTGATGTCTTTTTTTTTTTTTTTTTTTGAGTTTAAAAAGTACCTATGATTACAGATAAAGCAAAGTTAAGTGCCTTTTCTCTGTTCCCCCTTGATTGATTACAAGTGGATCTGAATCAAGGGTTATTCGGATATTAATCTTCTTTTAACATTTTTTTTTTGCGATTTTTATACATTTATTTTCATAAGGTAGTTCACAATAGTTCATTACAAATAATATTCAAACACCCACCCAGCCAGCGAGCACCTTCCCGGCACAACAAGCGGGAAGGGTGTGAAGGTTGTTGCATTTCATCCTGGGGCCGTTTAAGCCCGTATATAAGAGAATACAAGCAAGTATGTTAAAACCAAACACATGTGTGCTGCTTCAGGTACATCAGTGGGCTAGACTATAAGTGGTCGCACAGCCGTGAATAGGAAATACTGCATCTCTCTCTTCCAGGAGCTTTGTTTTATAGTCTCTGGGTCTTGGCCGTTGATGGCATTTCATAGCACCAGGGGGCAGTTTGTGGGTGTGGCTGCCAAGCTACTGGAAAACTGGGGATCCGGGTCGAGGAGGCCCCAGTCCCAATCCAAGCAGGCTTGGAGATCTCAGCCCCGGGTCCGCATACCTGGGTTCTTCTGCTGGTTCCTTCATGCGTGAGGCTCCTCCGAGCACGTGGAGAGTGGCCTTGAACATGGCTGAGGCTGGCTTCTGGAGGTTTTCAGCTACTGGGGTTCTGCTCAATGAACAACGGGAGGACAGTGACAGTGACAGTGGGGTTCTGCTCAACCTGCCCCTGTCTGAGGGTCCTCAGGGAAGACAGCCTGGCACGGGGGCAGGAGGTTCTGCTAGTCTTCTTTTCTGTTGCCTGCTCTCTGCCTGTATATGTATCAGAACATACGTCCCGACCTCAAGGACGGCGGGACAGTTTTTCTGAACCCATGTCCTCGATGTTCTCTCCCCCAGGTCCACGCTGCAGTGTATTCGCACAGTGACCTGTGAATATGCGCTCTGCTCTTTCTTTGTTCCTGGCGACCGGCAGGTGATCATAGGAACAAAGGTAAACTGAGGCTTTCTTGGCCAAGGACGGCTTGTATATTCAGGATTCTTGAAAACTATTGGAGAGGTCTGGGGTTTCTTCTTTTCTCTTCGTTTTTAGGCCCCATCCAGTGTGCTCGGGGCTTACTCCTGGATATGTGCTCAGGGGTCATTCCTGGAGGGGCGTGGACTTTCTGGGGTGCCAGGGGGTGAACCCAGACTGGCTGCATGGAGGGCCGGGCCCTCCCTGTTGACTCTCTCTCCAGCCCAGGGATTTAGTTTTCCATCTACTGGGATGAGTAGTAGACAAGTAACACACGGGAGGGTTTCGGTTCATGGCCCTCCCCTGTGGTTTGTTCTTGTGCTCCACTCACAGTGCTCAGAGGTTACTCCTGACTTGATGCTCAGGAGACCAAGAACACCCACAGACCAAGCATGTGCTTCAGCTCTTTTGACTCCTCAGCACCAACCCCTGCCCTTCCTTAATTTTTAAAATTTTGTTTTTGTCTTTGATATGCCAAAACAGTAACAAGAAGTCTCCTAAAATTAGCACAGCAGGTAGGGCATGTGCCTTGCATGCTGCTGACCTGGGTTTGATTCCTCTGCCCCTCTTGGAGAGCCTGGCAAGCTACCGAGAGTACCCTGCCCGCACGGCAGACCCTGGCAAGCACCCCGTGGTGTATTCGATATGCCAAAAACAGTAACGACAAGTCTGACAATGGAGACGTTACTGGTGCCCGCTCGAGCAAATCGATGAACAACGGGAGGACAGTGCTACGGTGCAGGTTTGAGCCACAGCAGCGATATTCAGGGGTTACTTCTGGCTCTGCACACAGGAATTACTCTTGGCAATGCTTGGGGGACCATATGGAGTACTGGGATCAAACCCAGACCCCCAGATCGGATGGCATGCAAGGCAAATACCCTACCCACTGTACTCTGTTCCAGCCCTTCTTGGTATTTGGGTCACACCCGGTGATGCACAGGGGTTGCTCCTGACTCATAGACTCAGGAATTACTCCTGGCAGTGCTCGGGGAATCTTATGGGATGCTGGGAATTGAACCTGGGTCAGCTGCATGCAAGGCAAACGCCCTACCAGCTCTGCTATCGCTCCAGCCCCCCTGCCCTTCTTAATGTTTGTTTTGTTTTTGTTTTTGTTTTGCCACACCTTACAGTGCTCAGGACTTACTCCTTATTCTGCACTCAGCAATCACTCCTAGCAGGCTAAGAGGACCACAGGGGATGCCAATGATTGAACCTGGGATGGCTGCATGCCAGGCAAGCGCCGTTCCCACTGTACTATCGCTCCGGCCCCACTTGGTGATCTTTTTATGTCCCTGTTCCTGTCCTCCCGTTGTTCATCGATTTGCTCGAGTGGACCCAGTAACATCTCCACTGGAGACTTTGTTGTTACTATGTTTGGCATATCGAATATGTCACGGGGAGCTTGCCAGGCTCTGCCGTGCAGGCGAGATACTCTCAGTAGCTTGCCGGGCTCTCCGAGAGGGGCGGAGGAATCGAACTCGGGTCGGCCATGTTGGCTACATGCAAGGCAAACGCCCTACCGCTGTGCTATCGCTCCAGCCCATCTTTTTATGTATTTTTTTTTCCTTTTAATTTTTATTAAGACTGATTTCAGGCCGTCTTCATGCATCTTTTAAGTGCACATGTAAATTGAGTTTTGAGAAAATATATCACGTTCCAAATCTCTTGCTTGGCAGATAGAAGTTTTCAGTAAAGACAGACGAACCAGTCTGTATTCCCAGTTTTAGTTATGTGGGTGATAACCGTGGGTGGAAAGAAGCAGGCCTGGGTTTGATTCAGATTCTTCACCTTAAAAAATGTGTGATTTGCATCAGCCTCAGTCCCATCACTCTGGGGTGTTTCTCCTCCATTTAATGGGATGATGTTGCTTTTTGACGGTGCTTTCATGTGAGCACCAGATGGACTCCGGTTAATTCGAGCTTCTCCAGTGGTTAGCAGTCACACCTCCGTGCAGATTAAAACACGCTTTTCTTATGTAAAATGATGCCAGGAGCCTACCTCTGTGCAAGCGAATAACTACATAGAAATGTTAGCAGAAGTAGAGGTCTATGACAAGAAAAATGGAACAAGAGAAATGGAACGAGATCTGTGGGATATGTTGAAAAATGCCTTGACGTATTTGTCATTAAATTACCGATGCACATGATTAGAGGATGATTTTATGTGTTGAATTTTATACATTATGCACGCACATCTAATACAGTGGATAATTTTCTTAAATTATCTACAGCAAAATCTAGAAACTTTTTAAATTTTTTAAAATTTTCTACCGCAAAATGTTGAAAATGCACTGGAGAACGTTTGGGGTCAGTGTCAAGGAGAATGGTAGGTTTTGATCTTTGTGTGTGAACCACGCAGTGCTCAGGTCTTCCTCCTAACTCTGTGCTCAGAGGATCATGGAGGAGGGGCGGCGGCGGAGGGTGGGGAATACTCAATTTCAATGAAAGGCTTCTGTCATTTCTCCTTCATTTCAAATAACAAGCATTTGCTTTTGGGAAAGTGTTTGTGAAGACGCCCTGGAACCACCATCAGTGTCTGCGCTCAGCACTGTCTCATACACTCCCTAGAGCAGCTCAAGGGCATTAGAGCTCTAAGGTGGTTTTTTTTTTTTCTTTTTTGGATCGCACCTGGCAAAGCACAGGGGTTACTCCTGGCTCCTCCTCACTCAGGAATTACTCCTGGCGGTGCTCGGGGGACCATGTGGGATGCTGGGAATCGAACCTGGGTCAGCTGTGTGCAAGGCAAAGGCCCTACCTGCAGTGCTATCACTCCAGCCCCCCCCTAAGGTTTGTTTTACAGGTGCAAAAACAGACTCATGGAACTGAACTCACTCACATTCATGGAGCTGGAAAGAGGTAGTGCTGGGCTTTAAGTCTCCTGCCGGGGTCCCCTCTCTCACATAGAGTAGTGGGTGTGGAGTGTGTTTGCCGCTGCACTAGTGATCACGGATATAACCCTACACAGGAAGTACAACTGGTTGCGTCTAAGCTACTGAGAATATTTTCTAAGTCTATCTCGCCCAGCACAGCCAAGCCTGGCAAGCTCCTCGTGACATATTCGATATGCCAAACACAGTAACAAGTCTCACCATGGAGACGTTACTGGGCCCGCTCGAGCAATTCGATGAACAGTGGGAGGACAGTCACAGTGACAGTGATGTCCCCCCTCTCATTTCAGTAAGAGTTAGTTCTATTGCCGGGGCTAGAACCATTGCAGAGTGTGTAAGGCGCCTGCTTGCACACAGCCAACCCAGGTTTGATTCTGGATAATAACATGTACTCCCTCGAGCCTGCCAGGAGTGATCTCTGAGCACAGAGCCAGGAGAAGCCCTGAACACTGCCAGGGTGCCACCCAACCCCCGCCCCCCAGAAAAAATGTATTTCTTTTTATTTTTTCTCCTTAAATTTTTATTAGTGAAACACCATGAGGTACAGTTGTAGACCTACAAATTTTTGTGCTTGGCTTTCAATTATACAATGATCGAATACCCATCCCTCCACCAGTGCCCATTCTCTACCACCACCAGTCCCAGTATCCCTCCCACCCCCCCATCCTCCCTTCCCACCCTACCCCTGTGGCAGGGCATCCCTTTTGTTATCTCTCTCCTTTTGAGTGCTGTGGTTTGCAAAAGAGACATTGAGTGGCAATCTTGTTCGGTCTATAGTCTACTCTCATCACACATTTCCCATCCTGAGAGGATCCTCCGAACACCCTTTATTTGGTGCTCCCTTCTCTGTCTGAGCTGCCATTTCCCCTAGCGTGTGCGACTGTCCTCAAAGCCATGGAGTAATCCTCCTGGTACTTATCTCGGCCACACTTGGGTGTTAGTCTCCTATTTTGTTACTTTATGTTCCCCAGATGAATGCAACCTTTCTATGTCTATCCCTCTCTCTCTGACTCAAAAATGTATTTCTTATTATTTGTATTATCTGGGAGGCAATGAAAACTGGGTAAACTGATCATAAGAAAGAATATCCGTTTGAAAGACTGATGGAGCATAGTGCCTTTAGAGTGCCTGTGTGCTGTCATGTTTGTTCTGATTTGCTTCTGGCCATGATTGTCTTCCTGCCGAGGTTAGGGGACCAGTGAAGGTGACAGGAGTCAGTTCCGCAGAGCTGAGCTGCCCTGGTTCCTCGCTTGGGCCCATCAGCAGGGACCCGCTCAGATACTTCGGACGGCACACGGAGCACAGAGAGAGAGAGCATAGGCTCCATCCATTTTACAGCAGCCGGCTGCATTGCTGTTGCTTGGCTGTGAAATTTTTTTCTCAGCTGCATCGGCAGGAATCATTGAGGATCTAGGTGTGTTGACCAGAGCTGTTTTGTGTCTTTCTCAGACAGGAAAGCTCCAGATTTATGACTTGGCCTCAGGAAGTCTGTTGGAGGCTATTGATGCACATGAGGGGGCCTTATGGTCCATGTCTGTCTCCCCGGATCAGGTAACTTCTCCAGACGTTCACTTTCAACTGCGTTTCCCCGTTTCTTCTTCTTAAACTGAAGTACCATCGCATTACACCGTTACCGTCTCTCATTTCTCATTTTGAGTTTTACTCTCACCTAATAAAGATTTCTCTTAGGGTGTCTTTAAAGAAAGTCCACAAATGTTCAGACTTCACGGTGCTGTCTCTTGTATCCGGTGATCGGAGAGGGAATCCTGAAAGGAACTGGAATTCTGCCGTTCTGGACCGTCAGCTGCGTGCTGGCAGATGGCTTCGCCTTGAATTTGATTTTTTTTTTTCCTGTTTTCAGGCCATACTTGGCAGTGCTTGAGGGCTGCTCTTGACTAAGTGCTCAGGGGTCAGTCCCGAGACTGCTCACAGCACCCTAACCTAGGGGCCAAACCTGCATGCACAGCATGTCCTCGGCCCTATAAGGCATCCCTCCAGCCCACCCTCGCGATTTGGAATTTGTGAGACTTCTTCACAATTCCTGGTCAACACAGTACAGAAAATGGAGTAGACTTTTCTGCTGGCCTTAGAATTGTTTTGTTTGTTTTGCCTTGTTGGTCCTTCCAAGTCAGTAAATTATTCTTCCCTTTAAATGAGCCATCCTGAGAAACTGTCTAGAAATGACACTGTTGCTCGGCAGATTTTTTGAACTATTTCAACCATATCTTAATAGATTATGTCCCTGAATACTGTGCCTCTGGATACACTTAATGATGGCAGACTCTAATCCCTGAAAGGAAATAACTGTTTTTGCAAACAAAAGGAATCTGGAGTGTGCATTGCTCTTCAGTGTAGAAACAAAATATCTATAAATTTAAATTTATAAATTTAAAAATCTGACATTTTAAAATCTGACATAGGGGGCTGGAGTGATAGCACAGCGGGTAAGGCGTTTGCCTTGCATGCAGCCGACCCGGGTTCGATCCCCAGCATCCCATATGGTCCCCCGAGTACCACCAGGGGTAACCCCTGTGCAACGCCAGGTGTGACCCAAAAAGCGAAAATAAATAAAAAGAATTAAAAATAAAAGAAAATAAAATAAAAATTAAAAAAATAAAAATCTGACATAAATTTATAAATCTGACATTTGTAGATTATCTTTTCCCATGTATTTTTCCTTTTTTTTTTCCTTTGGAAGTTTGTTGTTTAGTTTAAGTAGGGCATTCTAGGATTCTAGGTCCCTCCCCAGTCTCTTGGTCACTCTTCAGTGGGGTGTCACCTGCCCTGTCCCTCAATGCCAGTTTCTGTTCCTGTACTGTGTTTGTTGCCGTCAGTGTACAATGACCTTCTCTAGTCCCTTTGCCGCTCTGTCCTGGGTTCCCACTCCAGGTCTGAAATCTGCAGCTGAACCCCGCAGCCCGTGTTCCCTGCTGGGACACAGTGCTCTGGGCTCAGGGGTGCCCTGTCCCCTTTGCTTTCAGCCCGTGGCCATGTGCGTGTGGGGAGGAGCCTTCACCGTCAGGTCTCGTGCTTGGGTGCAAGTGTGGATTCAAAGGGCCATTTTTTTCCTACTGGTTTAGGTTTCATTGCTACAACAAAATTGAGGGTCATTGTCAGACTGTGACCTGTTTTGTCTGAAATGAAATTTAACTTCTTGATTTTGGCAGCTCATTTTGGACATATTTTTAATAGAGACTTGTGCAGAAATAAATTTGTACCCCGGAGAGGTAAACACTTAGAACCAACCTAGATTGTACAACCAATGTGCGTTTGTTCAACTATTTTACTACTGAGCAAAAAATTCTTTTGACTGTCAAACTGGGTTGTCATTATATGCCTGAGTCTCTGCTAGAACTCTCAGGAGAGGCCCATGTCAGCACTGACAGCAATGAAAGGGGTTAGAAATTTAAAAAATTAAATTAAATTTTAAAAAAAAATGGTGCTTTCAACATTCAGACCCTCTGCCACAAATAGAAAATGGTCTTATATGCCATTTTTAATGTGTCTTAAAGTTTATGTGGAAATATTTTTTAATGGACGTCATCTACTTGCAGCATGGCTTTGTGACGGGGGCTGCAGATAAATCTGTCAAATTCTGGGATTTTGAGCTGGTGAAAGATGAAAACAGTACCCAAAAGCGGTAAGTAATGTCTTCATTTGTGAGCCACTGCGGGGACAGTGGCAAGACACAGAGTGGTCTTTTGACATCTGTGTTCTCTTGAGCCCCAGGGAGCTGGCATTTGTGAAGTACTGATTCCTGCTTTTGTTGATTCTGTGTGCGATGGTAGGCTCTCTGTGAAGCAGACCCGAACCTTGCAGCTGGATGAAGAGGTCCTGTGTGTCAGCTATTCTCCCAACCAGAAGTTGTTAGCTGTGTCTTTGCTGGACTGTACTGTGAAAATTTTCTATGTTGACACTTTAAAGGTACAATGATTATGCCTGGGGGTATCTTCTTTGCTTTCTGATTAACCTTAAGAATTTGGGCTGAGGGGCCAGAGAGATAGTACAAAAGGGAAGGCAGTTGGCCTTGCATGCGGCAGATCCGGGTTCAATCCCCGGCACCCCATGAGATCCCCTGAGCATCACTGGGTCTGTCTGTCTGTCTGTCTCTTCTCCCATTGTTCATCGATTTGCTTGAGCGGGCCCAGTAACATTGTGAGACTTGTTGTTACTGTGTTTGGCATATCGAATACGTCATGGGTAGCTTGCTAGGCTTTGCCATGCAGGCAAAATACTCTTGGTAGCTTGTCGGGCTCTCCAAGAGGGGTGGAGGACTGGGTATTGCCCCCTCCCCCCCCCAAAAAAAAAAAGAATTTGGGTTGAAATTCCGAAGAAGAGGTCTTGACTGTGCACCGCAGAGTGTGTTTTTTTGTTTTGTTTTGTTGTTTTTTTTTTAATTAGTGAAACACCATGAGGTACAGTGGTAGACTTACAAACGTCTATACTTGGGTTTCAATTATACAATGATTGAGTACCCATCCCTCCACCAGTGTCCATTCTCTACCACCAATGATCCCAGTAGCCCTCCCGCCCCCCCACCCCACCCCACCCCACCCTGCCTCTGTGGCAGGGCATTCCCTTTTGCTCTCTTTCCTTTAGGGTGTTGTAATTTGCAATAGAGGTATTGAGTAGCCATTGTGTTTGGTCTATATTCTACTTTCAGCATCTCGCATCTCGCATCCTGAGCGAGTCCACCAAACATCCTTTACTTGGTATTCTCTTCTCTATCTGAGCTGCCTTTTCCCCCAGCCTGTGCTGCTGGCTTCCAAGTCGTGGAGCAGACCTCCTGGTACTTATCTCAACTATTCTTGGGTGTTCAATTCCCATCCTGTTACTTTATATTCCCTAGATGAGTGCAGTCTTTCTATGTCTGTCCCTCTCTTTCTGGCTCATTTCACTTGGCATGATACTTTCCATGTAGAACCACTTGTATGTAAATTTCATGACTTTTTTTAACAGCTGCATAGAATTCCATTGTGTAGATGTACCAAAGTTTCTTTAACCAGTCATCTGTTCTGGGGCACTCGGGTTTTTTCCAAAATTTGGCTATTGTGAACAGTGCAGCAATGAACATAGAAGTGCAGATGTCATTTCGACTGGACTTTTTTGCCTCTCCGGCATATATTGCCAGCAGTAGTATTGCTTGGTCAAATGGGAGCTCAATTTCTAAATTTTTGAGAAGCGTCCATACTGTTTTCTAAAAGGGCTGAACCAATCAGCATTCCCACCAGCAGTGAAGGAGGGTCCCTTTCTCGCCACATCAGCGCAAACACCAGTTGCTTTTGTTCTTTTGGATGTGGGCCAGTCTCTGTGGTGTGAGATGATATCTCATTGTTGTTTTGATTTGCATCTCCCTGATGATTAGTAATGTAGAGCATTTTCTCATGTGCCTTTTTGCCATTCAGATTTCTTCTTTGAGAAAGTTTCTGTTGATTTCGTTGCCCCATTTTTTGATGGGGTTGGATGATTTCTTCTAGTGGAATTCAACCGAATGCTTTGTATATCCTTGATATCAACCCCTTATCCAATGGGTATTGGGCGAATATCCTTTCCCATTCTGTAGACTTTCTTTGTATTTTGATCACTGTTTCTTTCGAGGTGCAGAAGCTTCTTAGTTTAAGATAGTCCCATTTGTCTATCTCTGTTTTCACTTGCTTGGCCAGTGGCGTGACATCTTTGTAGATACCATTAGCTTCTATGTCATGGAGGGTTTTGCCTACCTTGTCTTCACTGTACCTTATGGATTCAGTCTGATGTTGAGGTCTTTAATCCATTTTGATCTTACTTTTGTACATGGTGTTAGGCAGAGATCTGAGTCCATTTTTTTGCATGTAGCTATCCAGTTTTATCAGTACAATTTGTTAAAGAGGCTTTCCTTGCTCCACTTCACTTTTCTTGCTCCCTTATCAAAGATTAGATGATCATATAATTGGGAGGAGGTGTCAGGATATTCAACCCTGTTCCATTGGTCTGCAACTCTGCGTTTGTTCCAGTACCGTGCTGTTTTAATTATTACTGCTTTGTAGTAGAGTTTGAGGTTGAGGAGGTTGATTCCTCCCATTTTTTTTTTCCCCAAGAATTGCTTTAGTTATTCATGGGGGCTTATTGTTCCATATGAATATCAGGAGTGTTTGCTCCATTTCTTTGAAGAATGTCATGGGGATCCTTATAGGAATTGCATTGAATTTGTACAATGCTTCGGGAAGTATTGCCTTTTTGACAATGTTAATTCTCCCGATACATGAGCAGGGGATATCTTTCTGTTTCCTCCTGTCCTCTTTTATTTCCTGAAGTAGCGTTTTGTAGTTTTCTTTGTACAGGTCTTTTATTGAGGCTTCTGGATTCTTTTCATCATCCTCTCCTTGTGGTCGGGATTTGCGTTGTTTCTTCATGTTGGTGTGGTGCTATGGAGACTGAGATGTTACAGGAGATTGCTGGGTATGAGTAATTTACCTGTGGCCCTGTGAGCATCCACTGGCCCCAAAATAGGCCACGCCCATTTCTGCAGAGCCCACGCCCCCTAGGGAGACCTGGTGTGTGTGTGGATACAGACCTGAGAGAGGGAGAAAACCGGGCGCTGAGTTGGGGACGAGCAGGAAAGGTCTCAGGGATGGTGGGCGGCCCCCGCAGAGTGTGGTTTTTCTAAAAACTTGAGTGTAATCAAAGCCTCTTCAGCCAACGGGGAAACTAGTTTTAAGAGAATCCTTTGGGTGTAAGTGTTGGAATCCTTTGTGTTTTCAGTTGAAGGTAGATTGCATTTCATCTAAAGCAAGCGTTCCTGTGGCTGCTTCTGCTGTGGGTCTTTCCATCCCACGTGACACAGGGCACTGTGCCTAGCCCTTCCCCTCTGACTGACTTCATTCAGTCCAAGATCCTTTGGTCCCATGCATGTGGGGTCAAATAGCAAGATTTTCAAAGACAGACCACTACAGACAGCTTGAACCTATGCCCACAGAGGGGCCCCTGCATGCTGCTGCCGAGAATACAGGAGCCAGGGATGCCCCGGAAGCCTCTGCTTCCGACAGACCGGGAGAGATACACTCAGGCGCTGGAGAGCAGGTGACTGGAGAGAGCACAGGACTTCAGGCCTTGCCTTGAGCGTGGCAGATTCCGCTTCAGTCCCCGGCAGTACATATGGCGCCCTGAGCACTGCTAGGTGTGATTCAGAACCAGCACAGTCACTGTCTGGGTCACTGAGCAGTGCTCTCTGGGTGATGTGGGTCAGGGGGAGCTCAGGGGGCTGGCGTGTGTTCTCCGCCTACAGAAGCCGCGGGTCCCAGACCCTGTACCACAGCCCTCCCAACTCCGTTGGGAGTGGCCTCCCCGGCTCCACTGCATGGGGACCCCAAACAACAAAAACCAAAAGCCAAAAACTCCTGGCTATGGCAAGATGTCCCAGACTTGGAGAAATATTTCATTAAAAGCTTGCTATGAAAATCGTGCTGTTGGCCCCCACAGGCATGGGGCTAAGGAACATCGTCCTGGGTGATGTCAGTCAGGACAGGGCTCCTTGCAGAGTGACCTCAGTGTGGGATGTAAAGATTCACAGCAAGGGAGCCCCAAAAGGAAAGAGAGCAGAATGGGAGAACTCTGCCACACAGTAACTGGGGTCTGAGGGGGAGCCTGAAAGGGAGGATTCTTGGGGTCCTGAGGGAGGGGCAGGAACACTGGTGATGATGCGGTGATGCAGTTATGTGCATGAGAAACGCTTTAGTAACGTTGGAAACCACAGAGTCTCAATTAAAAATTTCAAAAATATTTTTTTAAAAAGGGGGCCAGAGCAATAGGACAGTGGACGTGGTATTTGCCTTGTATGCAGCCAACCGGGTTCAATTCCCAGCATCTCTTATGACCTACTAATTACCATCAGGGGTGATTCCTGAGTGCAGAACCAGGAGTAACCCCTGATCATTGCTGGGTGTGACCCAAATACCAAATTTTAAAAAAAGAAGAAAAAAACCAGATCAAAAGCAATCCACAGCAATGTTTTTGTTGTATTATAAAGTTAGGTTATTGTTTCACGTATGGTAAATTATGCCTATAATTTTACAGAACAAAATTTTCTTTTCTTTAAATGTTTAGTTTTTCCTCTCACTATATGGACACAAACTGCCCGTTATATGCATGGACATCTCTTATGTAAGTAAATTTTAAATACTCTCAGTAACAAGTCATTCTTTGTAAAGCTCTTACTTCTCAATTTGATACTTTTATTTAAAAGCATTTCTCATTCTATTGTCTGTCTCCTTAAAGATGATGTACTGAAATTATCCCTTATCTATATCTAGTCTTTAAACTTTTCAGAGTATTTTCACACGTATTAACTGAATTCATCCTTGTAATTAAGACCTGTTTTCCCCAAAAGGATTTTGTTGTCTAAATTATTATAATTAGTAGAGCATCCTAAAATATGAGAACCTTTTTAAGAAGACATCTGCCCTCTGTTCTGGAGAATAATAGTGGTGAGGAAGAAGGAAATTGAGTTTATAATTTGGATATTCATCAGGTTCTGTCCCATAGACAGTCTGTGTTAACCAAAATCACGTTTTTGCAGTGCCTATTTGTGATTAAGAATGATAATGTATATTAACAAACATATCCTGTGTGGATGAAAGAACTTGGCCCCATGCTGTAGTTGCTGCCTCCGGTTGGTATTAAAAAGTATTTACATATGTTTGATTCTCCAGACTAGGCATTTAAAGAGGACTGTTAAGAGAAGATGGGGGGAAAATATTAGGTCACAAATATTTTGAGAAAATCCCCATTCTTACCTTCTCTTTCCCTCACCCCTAACCTCCACCATGAAGTCATTGTGTAGGTGGCGGTGTGCACGTTTTCATTGTTTTTTTCTTTTGGTTTCCAGTTCATCCACCCTAGGGCCTCAGGCAGAGGTACTTACCAGTCGACCTGTAGGAAAAACGAAGAATTAGGGGTTCTTGCTAAAGATGCAGTTGAATTTTGGTTAACATCAATTTCAGCGTTTTGGAAGGAAATGGATTGAACATTCAGGATAGCGTTAATTTAGAGAATATCAGGTAGGCATACAGGAATGTTTTCCTTCTGTCTCTCAGGACGGAGCACTCATTGCCACTGGCTCTGCCGACAGGAATGTGAAGATTTGGGGTCTGGACTTTGGGGACTGCCACAAGTCCCTCTTTGCACACGATGACAGGTACGCACAGTCCCTGCTGAGTACTCTCTCGGTGTCATCTTGCGCTCGCCTTGAGTGTCTGGTGTTCTTGGTCATCAGTTAAAAAATCTAATATCTGAACTCCAACACTCTGGAACTAGCTGCTCCAAGGCCGTGTGCACGGGTTAAGTCTCTTTGGTTGCTGTCAGCATGTACACACCTCATACCCTCTCTTTTCAGTGTGATGTTCCTCAAATTTGTACCCAAATCTCACCTCTTCTTCACTGCTGGGAAAGACCGAAAGATTAAGCAGTGGGATGCTGATAAGTTTGAACACATACAAACTCTGGAGGTAATCTCTTCCTTAAGAACTGCTTTGAGCTGGGGTCCAGAAAGATAGTTCAGTGGGTAGGGCACTAGTCTTATGCACAGTCATTCAGTTCAACCCCGGCACCCCACCTTGTCTCCTGAGCCCGGCCAGGAGTGGTCCCTGAGCCCAGAGCTAGGAGCAAGCCCTGGGCACCACCAATGTGAACCCGAAGGAAAACAAAAATGAACTGCTTTGGGGCTGACTTAAGTGCCAGTTTCCCTCTAGTGTGAGCAGGTCACCCCCCGTGCATAAGATACTCTTCTTCAGGATTTGCTTCTGCTTTTCACTCTCTGTCCAGGGGCACCATCAGGAAATCTGGTGCTTGGCCATTAGCCCTAGTGGAGACTACATAGTGTCATCGTCCCACGACAAGTCCTTGAGACTTTGGGAGAGAACCAGAGAGCCTCTTATTCTTGAAGAAGAGCGGGAGATGGTAAGACTCGGTGACAGGTTTGCTGGGGGAATCTGGAGGCTTTGTGGAGGGCATGTGTTCATTGTAGTGTGTTGCACCAAAGCCCGTAAGGGTCCCAACACGGCAAGGATGTTCCCGAGACCACCATCACCATTTCACCCGCATGTTTGGAGATGAAAATGCCACCAGGGATTGTAATTTGAAAGAAGCAGGGGCTCAGTGGCTCGTTTCACTTCACAAATAGAGACTATCTTTTTTCTCAAAAAATTAATCTCTCTCCTCTCTCTCTCTCTCTCTCTCTCTCTCTCTCTCTCTCTCTCTCTCCAGGAAAGGGAAGCAGAGTATGAAGAGAATGTGGCCAAAGAAGACCAACCAGCAGTAAGTAAAATTTTTTTGCTACCCTAAGATTGTGCCCCATAATTATATGTTATTTTCATTTCAACCGTTCTTATGGGAATTAGAATTGGGGCGGACTCCCAAAGTTATTACCAGCTATCTGAGATGCTGGTCTTAGGAGCACCTTGCATTTTTGTAAAACTAAATATCCTGACCTTCGTAGGACAAGTGACTATCCAAATTTGGGACCAGATGATGGCCATTAAAGAGGGCACAGGGAATTTTACGTAAATTTTTAAAAAAAAAAAAAGAAAATAGAAAATAAACTGACTATTCTCTTTAAACATAAAAACAGGGTTTTGGAGGGTTTGGGTTTTTTGTTTGTTTGTTTGTTTATGAAAATGCCTGAGAAATAGTGTTTGGTTCTTAGGAACTTAACAGAGGGTAGCTCGTAACACTGCATTACCTTCATCCTAGAATGCTAATGTCTGCCCTTTGTCTTGGTTCTCATTATCTGTCAGTGATAATGTTCAAGCACCTTTTTGGTATCTTGTAGGTTCCAGGGGAGACTCAAGGGGACAATTATTTTACTGGAAAGAAAACCATTGAAACCGTCAAAGCAGTAAGTTGATCAGGAAATGTATTACTCGCTCTTTTCCGTAGGATCTCAACTCTCTGGTACCTTTTCATCAGCCCAACTGCCCTTTTGTAAAACCCCAAATTGTTTGCGGTGGAGATGTTGGCATGTTTTCTTCCTTTGTAACCAAGGGACAGTGTCCTTGACCAGCCTGTGTCTCCTGAACCTGGCCCCTTGGGAGTGGTTTCTCAGAGCAGTGCTCCGGGGGGTGACCGCTTCAAATCTCACCTGACCCCAGGGCACTCACTCTCTTCCCTGTAAATTGAAAGGAAGAAAGACACCAAAGGCAGCATCCTTGACAGTTGGGCAATCTGTCAGCACATCTTTATTAACCAGCGGAAGCTATTTCATGCGATCCTTTTCTCGTGGGGCCTTCCAGTTGCTGTTTTTTGGGGTGCTGGGGTGTGATGTGATGATTTCTGTGTCCTTTGTCGTCTTTGTAGGCAGAAAGGATCATGGAGGCTATCGAGCTCTACCGAGAAGAAACTGCAAAAATGAAAGAACACAAAGCCATTTGCAAGGCAGCCGGGAAGGAGGTGAGATGTCCCTGCATCTTGCCTCACAGATGGAAGAGGAACGTCATGATCTCACTTTTTCCTAGCGCAGGGTAGGGAGTGAGATAATTAGAACAGAACTAAGACCAGTTCAGGTATTAGGAGGAGGTCACTGGACTAATGGTGAGAGAGCACACCAGATGGGTGATGGGGATCCGGAAAGAAAACCTGGAAAGTTAAATTCCCCTGGTGACGTGGTCATGGCTTCACAGTGGGCACAACTAGTGAATCAACACAGCTGGTGTGATGTGTCGTGTCACGACTTGGTTTCAAGGAAAGGATTGACGAAGGAGCTTGGCCTCAGGAAGAGGGAAGGATAGGAAAACAGAAATTCCTGGAGAGAGAGAGTGATTACTGTGTTGACTGGAACCAAACTCTTTTGTATTGGTTGGAAGCGGTGTAACCATTTCTGATGTGGCACTGCAATGACTGGCCCAGACTTACTCATGAGCACTGTGGAACCCAAAAGCAGACCCTCTCAGTTTCCTTCCATTTTTAAGGTCTGCTTTGTTTTCTCTTTTCAAAAGTATAGCACTCTCTCCTCCTCTGCCTGCAGCGAGCACCCGCAGAGTCTACCTTTTGAAATGACAGTGATTTCATTGTAGGTTCGTCTTCCCGTTAACCCCATCCTGATGGCATACGGCAACATCTCTGTGAGTGAATATCTGACATTTCACCTTGGGGACATTTAGGGACAGGAGAGGAAGTGGAGAAGCATTAGGATTTGAGTATAGACGTTGGGGGGATAGTTTAATTTTTTAAAAATCTCTCATCAGAGCTAGAGAGTAAGCGCGGGCGTGGGTATGACATAGTCTAACCGTGGTTCGATCCCCCGCACCACTGGGAGTGATCCCTGACCACAGCCACCCGTGGCCCAGAAACTAATGTCAAAACAAAACAGAAGAATCACTTCTTTAAGGGCCAAGGAGATGGCTCAGTGGGCTGAGCACCTGCTTTGCATGTGGGAGGCCTGGGTATGATTCCCAGCACCACACGGTTCCCTAGACAGTACTGGGGAAGGTCAGGCTCAGCTGTTTGGCCCATATTGGGTGGCGTTTTCAGTTCTCGTCTATTTTCCGAAGCCAAAGCCCTTTGAAGATCGATTCACCTTTGAACTTTGAGTAGCAAGTTGAAATAAGTCTATTAAAAGAGAAAGGAGAGGAAGTAGGAGAGGAAGAACGTATGATTATCTATAATTGGTTAGAAATGTTGGATTAGTACCGTACTTAGGTGTGTCACTCGTTGAACAGTCCCTTGTGTCTGTGATTCCTCGTTTTCTTCAGGGGAGCTGGCCTGAGATAAATGCTAACAGGTGGAGAGGGGTGGGGCTGGGTCGTGAGCCCAGGTCTGACCCGCTGTAGACCCAGGCCCACCTTTCCTCTTTGGAGCACCCCTGGTCCCCTCTCGTGTTTGTTAGGGTGGGAATTAGCGCATGTCACTAGAAGGCAGTCAAGAGTGTCTCTAATGCCATTATTCTTTCTTTGTAGCCTTCAGCTTATGTGTTAGAGATTTTAAAAGGAGTCAGATCCAGGTGAGTTCCAGCACACACTGCCTTTGTCATCTAAAATATTTTTCTAAACGTGACTTGGAAATTATCTTTGAGGACTCTCTTCCTGAGAGCTTTAAATGTGTAGGATTTTTATGGGAAAGAATCCATTGTAAATTTACTTTCTTGGAGTAGAGCTAGAAGACTAAAAGAGAGAAACTTTGAAGGAAAATGAAGGGTGGTATCAGTCAGTATACCGGCTCTTCACATTTTTTGGTATATTGTTTTCTCCTGCTTATTCCATGAACATGCGAAATAATATATATATTATATTTTTTCATATATAATATATAAAATATCACGGTCCTCCCATTGTTCATCGATTTGCTCGAGCGGGCCCAGTAACATCTCCATTGGAGACTTTGTTGTTACTGTGTTTGGCATATCGAGTACGTCACGGGTAGCTTGCCAGGCTCTGCTGTGCGGGTGAGATACTCTCGGTTACTTGCCGGGGCTCTCCGAGAGGGGCAGAAGAATCGAACTCGGGTCGGCCATGTTGGCTGCTTGTAAGGCAAACGCCCTACCGCTGTGCTATTGCGCAAACCCATATAAAATATATATTAACTTATTATATATTAATATATATTATATCGGAGAGCCCGGCAAGCTACCGAGAGTATTCGATATGCCAGACACAGTAACAACAAAGTCTCCAATGGAGACGTTACTGGGCCCGCTCGAGCAAATCGACGATCAACGGGAGGGCCTTTACCTTTACCTTTACCTTTTATATATTTATATATTTTTATATATTATATTTATAATATATTATATAATATATTTTATATTTTTATATCTTTTTGACAGAATACTTATGAGTATGGATACATTCTTTTCATACTTTTTACAAAGATATTACCACCAGATTTATTTAAAATGTTCCATTGCACAATAACTTATTAGATGTTGAATTTGGTTTTTGCTATTATTAATACTGCTTCTGTGGCCACCTTTGCGTATAAATCTTTGTTCTCTTCTTAAGAAGAGTGCTCTTACTGATCAGTGTCAAAACTCACGGGCTTGTTTTTCTTTTTCCCTAATTCAAAACGGTTTATAGCAGGAACATCTTCGGTGAAATAGCTATTCAGCATGAGCATTTTTGAGGTTGATATTTCTAAATGCCTTTCCAGACTTGCTGTTCAGATGCTTAAAGACTCTTAAAATTCCTTTCCAGTTTGAGGGGCCAGAGTGATCGTGGGTAGGGCACGTGGCGAACCCAGGTTTGATCCCCGGGATCCACATGGTCCCCAGCCTCACCAGGAGTGATTCCTGAGCTCAGAGCCAGTAGTAACCCCTGACCATAGTCAGGTGTGACTCCAAAGCCATTTATTAAAAAATTATCACTGTAGCACTGTCCTCCCGTTGTTCATCGATTTGCTTGAGTGAGCACCAGTAACGTCTCCATTGTGAGACTTGTTACCGATTTTGGTATATTGACTACACCACGGGGAGCTTGCCAGGCTCTGCTCTGCGGGCGAGATACTCTCGGTAGCTTGCTGGGCTCTCAGAGAGGGATGGAGGAATCAACCCTGGGTCGGCCGCGTGCAAGGCGTTTAAACGCCCTACCCGCTGTGCTATCACTCTAGCCCTATAAAAAAAACTAAAAATAATAAATATATGTGTGTGTGTGTGTGTGTGTGTATATATATATATATATATATATATATATATACTAGCTATAGAAGCAAAAGATAGTTTTTTAAGCTTTTTTATTGAATCACTTTGATAGACCCTTGCAAAGCTGTTCATGATTGGATTTCAGTCATACAGTATTCCAACATCCATCCCTCCACCACTGTCCATTTCAAAAAAAAAATTTTTTTTAATTGAATCACTGTGAGATAGTTACAAAGCTTTCATGTTTGAGTTTCAGTCATGCAATGATCGAACACCCATTCCTCCACCAGTGCACATTTTCTCCAACCAATATCCCCAAGTTCCCCCCCATCCCCCGCCATCCCACCCCTCCCCTTGCCTCTGTGGCAGACAATTTCCCCCATGCTCTCTCCTACTTGGGGCATTATGGTTTGCAATACAGATACTGAAAGGCTATCACGTTTGGTCCTTTATCTGCTTTCAGCGCACATCTCCCATCCCGAACAATCCCTCCAACCATCCTTGACTTAGTGGTCTCTTCTCTATTCCAGCTGCCTTCTCCCCCAGCTCATGAGGCAGGCTTCCACCATGGAGTAATATTCCTAGCCCTTGTCTCTACTGTCCTTACCCATCAGTGTCATATTATTTTATATTCCACAAATGAGTGCAGTCCTTCTATATCTGTCCCTCTCTTTCTGGCTCATTTCACTTAGCATGATACTCTCCATGACCATCCACTTATAAGCAAATTTCATGACTTCATCTTTCCTAACAGCTGCATAGTACTCCATTGTGTAGATGTACCAAAGTTTCTTTAACCAGTTGTCTGTTCTTGGGTACTCGGGTTGTTTCCAGATTCTGGCTATTGTGAACAATGCTGCAATGAACATAACGGTGCAGGTGTCATTTCTACCGTGCATTTTTGCACCCTCAGGATATAATTCCCAGAAGTATTGCGAGGTCGTATGGGAGCTCAATTTCTAGTTTTTTAAGGAAAGCCCATATTGTTTTCCAAAAGGGCTAGGCCAGTCGGCATTCCTACCAACAATGGTTGTTCTTGTTCTTTTGGATGTGGTGTGAAATGATATCTCACTGTTGTTTTGATTTGCATCTCCCTGATGATTAGGGATGTAGAGCAGTTTTTCATGTGCCTTTGGCCATTTGTATTTCTTTTTTGAGGAAGCTTCTCTTGATTTCTTCTTCCCACTTTGTGGTGGGGTTGGAGGTTTTTTCCTTGTACAATTGTGCTAGTGTCTTGTATCACTTAATCACTTAATCACTTAATCCCCGTTATTCATCGATTTATTCGAGCGGGTGCCAGTAACGTCTCCATTCATCCCGGTTGCGTGCTAGCGTAGCCCAATGGTATCTGTTCGTTTTAGGAACATGTAGAGCCTCAAACCGATCATTTAGGGTCTTGACGAAGAAGTCTGACCATCTTATAGGTGGGCGTCCACGTGATCTTTTGATGTCTCGTGGAATCCAATCAGTAATGGCTCTAGTCCAGCAGTTGTCTGTAAACCTCATTATATGTCCAGCCCATCTGATTTTTGATGTCTTGGCAAATGAGACAGCGTCTCTGATTCTTGAGCGTTGACGAAGATCAGAACTCCGGATTCTATCTCTCATTTGAGTGAATCGTGATATTCCAAGCATAGTTCTTTCGATTCCTCTTTGAGAGACCCGAATAGTGTTCTCATCCTGTTTTCGTAGGGTCCAGGTCTCTGAGGCATATGTTAATGCAGGAAGAATAGTGGAATCAAAGAGATGTGCTCGTAGTTGGAGGTTCTTTGTCCTTTTAGTTATTTCTTCAATGCTCTTGAAGGCATTCCAAGCCGCTCTCTTCCTCCTGCGTAACTCAGGTGCCAGGTCATTCATCATGTTGATTTCTCGACCTAAGTATATATAACTGTTGCATTCGGAGATGGTGGTTCCGTTGAGAGCGAATGGAGCGTCAGGAACAAGGCTGTTTCTCATAAACATTGTCTTCGTAAGATTCAGCTGTAGTCCAACCTTTCCACACTCACGGTCAAAGTCCGCAAGCATTTGTGCCGCTTGGCTGATGTTTGGTGTTATTAGAACAATGTCATCAGCAAAGCGGAGGTGGTGTAGTTGCCGACCATCTATCTTCACTCCCATGTTTTCCCATTCTAGTCGTCGCATGATGTTCTCGAGGGTGGCACTGAAGAGTTTTGGTGAAATGGTATCACCCTGCCGAACCCCTCTCTTGATATGGATGATTACTTCTTTGTAGAATGGTGAGATCTTGGTAGTGAATCCGCAATAGAGCTCACGAAGGATCCTGATGTATTGAGTTTGTACGCCCTGATTGACTAGGGCTTCCATGACCGCTTCCGTCTCAACAGAATCAAAGGCCTTCTTTAAATCAATGAACGTTAGACAGAGCGGCATCTTGAACTCCCGAGATACCTCAATGAGCTTGGTTATTGTGTGGATATGGTCGATGGTACTGAATCCTTTTCGGAATCCAGCTTGTTCACATGGTTGTCCTTCATCTAGTGTTCTGCTAATCCTATTCAGGATGACTCGAGTGAATAGTTTGTAGATGACAGACAATAGGCAGATTGGGCGATAGTTGCCAATGTCGTGGATGTCTCCTTTCTTGTATAGTAGTACAGTCTTGCTGGTTTTCCATTGGGATGGAACCTTGCATTCAGACAGGTAGCGTGTGAAGAGTCGAGCTAATGTATTGATGAGTACTGATGGTAAGTTCTTCAGGTGTTCAGGTCTGATCTTGTCTGGGCCAGGTGCTTTTTGTTTCTTTACCGACGAGATGGCATGTTGGATTTCGGAAGGGAGAACATTGGGAACGACATATCCATCATGTGGTATGTGGTATGTGGGCAAGTGGATGTGGCTATTAAAGAGATCTGAGTAGAATTCATGAATAATCTTCTCCATTGCCCTTCTGGAAGATGTGATAGATCCATCATGATGTCGGAGGGCAGTCATCTTGGTTTTGTAGTTGGTGAAGGACAGGCGGGCATTACGAATGTTTTTGCCAGCTTCTGCTGCATCTACCAGTACTGCTGCTCTCCTGTTTTTGAGGTCATCCTTGATGGCTTTTCTGCACTGTTTTGCCAGTTCGGACGTTTGCTTGTGGTTGCCTGAGGCACGTGCCACGCCACGTTGGCGAATAAGTTCAAGAGTGTTCGAAGAAAGACGGTTTTTTGTGGTTATCTCTCTCTTGGCATTCCTTGCACAATCATGGAGGTGCTGAATCATTCGATCGTATTCCTCATCAATGTTGTCAATGACGGCATCTTCCCATGTTGCTGCAACAGAGCCAAAGAGTTCCCAGTTGGTGGTTGTTCTGGGAGTCTTCTTCTTAAACCTTGCATTCTTTTCTCCTCGTTCTGTGAGGTAGAATTTTGCACGAAGAAGACGGTGGTCTGATCCCGTTTGGAATTTTGGGACAACAGCAACATCGGTTAGGCAAAACCGCCGATTGAATATGATGTGGTCTATTTCATTGTGGAACCGTCCATCGGGAGACTCCCATGTCCAACGTTTAGATTCAGCCTTTTGGAATTGTGAGTTACCATGGAAGGTTTTGGTTGACATGATGAACTCAGACAGTCTGTCACCTTGTTCGTTCCATTCCAGGCCATGGGTTCCGATGTGGAGTTCATCGACTGATCTTCTTGGTCCTATCTTGGCATTAAAATCACCGACAATGATCTTGTAGAAGGTGTGATCTTCTTTATAGAATTTCTCCAGCTCCATGTAGAATTTCTCAGTTTCTTTTTCACCATAACTGGATGATGGTGCGTAGACAACAAAGATAGAAACTGCCGGTAGTGAGCCACATTTATTCAAGTGCAATCGTCCGATTCGGGTTGTTAGGCATTCAAATGAATCAATGCTTGTGACTAAGTTTGTGTTGACAAGGATACCGACACCACCGACGCCTCTTTTATCACATGTTCCAAGGAACAGTTCTTCTCCAGTGTCGAAAACAGCATGATGGGATTGATGTCTTCTCGTTTCGGTCAGACCAATGATGTCGTACTTGATCTTTCGTGCTTGTACCATAAGGTCTTCAATGGATGCAGCAGATGCCAGCGTACGAGCATTAAAAGTACAGACAATCATTTTTGTTTTTCTGCGTTTTGGCAGCCCATGTCTGCCTTGGTGTTTTATCAGCTTCTCCTTCCATATCCTTCTCGACTCTGCATAATCAGGGCTAGGGGAATGAGATCCATTTATTACTGGATTTGGCATATCAATTTGGTCTATTTGGCATAGATCACGGATAGCTTGCCAGGCTCTGCCGTGTGGGTTGGATATTTAAGGATATTTAAGGTATCCTGAAAATTATTAAATAAATAGTGTCTTGTATATCCTGGATATTAACCCCTTATTGGATGGGTATTGGGTAAATATTCTTTCCCATTTGGTGGGCTCTCTCTGTATTTTGGTCACTATTTTTTTTCAGGTGCTGAAGCTTCTTAATTTAATGCAGTCCCTTTTGTTTATGTTTGTTTCCACTTGCTTGGTGGGTGGTGTTTCATCCTTAAAGATGCTTTGAGCTTCAGTGTCATGGAGGGTTCTGCCTACATTGCCTCCATGTGTCTTATGGATTCGGGTCTGATACTGAGGTCTTGAATCCACTTTGGTCTGACTTCAGAGTTCATTTTTTTTTGCAGGTAGCTGTCCAGTTTTCCCAGCACCACCTAGTGAAGAGGCTTTCCTTGTTCTACGTCACATTTCTTGCTCCTTTATCAAAGATTAAGTGATCATTTATTTGAGAATTTGTGGCAGAATATTAAACTCTGCTCCTTTGGTCTGGGGGGTCCACCAGTGTCCATGTCCCAGTACTAGTCCCCAGGTTCCCTCCCATCACCCCCACCCCCCACTTGCCTCTATGGCAGGGGCCCCACCCCCTCTTTCCCTCTCCCCCCTCCTTTTAGGGCATTTTGCTTTGCAATGTTGATACTGAAAGGTTCAAGGATATCCCTTTACCTGCTTTTAATTCTCAGTTCTTGTCAAGCATGATCATTCCCAGGTACTGTTGTCATAGCAGTCTCTTCTCTGTCTTACCACCTCAGGGCCCCACACACACTGTGGTTAGATCCAACCATTGGCCAGTCCTCCTAACCTCTGTTTTCCCTGGCCATGGATATTAGCCTTCTACTATATGTATTTTTCATATACCACAAATGAATGCAGTCATTTTATATCTGCCCTTCTCTTTCTGGCTCATTTCACTCACATGACACTCTCCAGGTCCATCTGTCTGTAGACAGATTTCATGACTTCATTTTTCTTAACAGCTGTGTAGTATTCCATTGTGTAGATGTGCCATGGTTTCTTTACCCATTCATCTGTTCTCGGACACTCAGGTAGTTTCCAGGTTGTCCAGAGCTAGTACTAACATGACCGTAAGAGTGCAGTTGGTGTTTCTGCTGTGTGTTTTGGGGCACTCTAGTGTATATTCCCAGAAGTGGTATTGCTGGGTCAAATGGGAGCTCAGTTTCTAGTTTCTTGAGGAATGTCCATACTGTTTTCCAAAATCGTTGGACCACCCTTTTGGAAAACAGTATGGACGACTCTCAAAAAATTAGAATTTGATCTCCCATTTGACCCAGCTATAGCACTCCTGGGAATATATCCCAGAGAGGCAAAAGAGTATAGTCGAAGTGACATCTGCAATTGTTTGTTCATTGCAGCACTCTTTACAATAGCCAGAATCTGGAAAAAACCTGAGTGCCCGAGAACAGAGGACTGGTTAAAGAAACTTTGGTACATTTACACAATGGAGTACTATGTAGCTGTTAGAAAGGATAAAGTCATGAAATTTACATACAAGTGGTACTACATGGAAAGTATCATGTTAAGCGAAATGAGTCAGAAAGAGCGGGATAGACACAGAAAGATTGCATTCATCTGGGGAACATAAAGCAACAAAAAGGGAGACTAACACCCAGGAATGGCTGAGATTAGTACCAGGAATTTTGCTCCATGAATGGAAGGCCAGCCACACGTTCTAGGTGAAAAGGAAGCTCAGATAGAGAAGAGAGCACCAAATGAAGGGTGTTGTGAAGACCCTCCCAGGGTGGGAGAAGCATGCTAAAAGTAGTTTATAGACCAAACATGATTGCCACTCAAAGCCTCTCTTGCAAAACACAGTACCCAAAAGAAGAGAGAGAGAACAAGGGGGAATACCCTGCCACAGAGGCAGGATGGGACGGGGGGGGGGGGGGGGGGGATGGGGGGTGCAGGGGGGGGATGCTGGGACCCGTGGTGATGGATGACAGGCACTGGTGGAGGGATGGGCACTTGATCATTGTATAACTGAAACCCAAGCACAAAATTTGTAAGCCTATAACTGTACCTCATGGTGTTTCACTAATAAAAAAAAATAAAATTAAAAATAAAATTAAAAAAAAAATGGTTGGACCAGTTGGCATTCCCTCCAACAGTGAAGCAGAGTCCCTTTCTCCCCACATCTGCACCGGCACTGGTTGCTCTTATTCTCTTGGATGTGTGCCGGTCTCTGGTGTGAGATGATATCATCTCACTGATGATTAGGGATAAAGAGCATTTTTTCACGTGCCTGTAAAAGGGGGTATTGTACTTGGATTTCTTGGGGGTGATTATGAAGTTAGATTTTTATATTCGTTGCTTCTTGCTGGTAGTTTTGTTTTGTTTTCATACATTTTGTTCCTTCCCATCTCTTATGCTTAGTTGTTTCCTTGACTTTGTATTTAATCGGCAATTGTTTGCTTTGGTTTTAAGGCATACTGGTTCAAGGATGAGTCCAGGGCTAACTCCAAGGCATGCTTGGGGATGGCAGGTCATAGACTGGACCCCAAAGCCCCAGTCTCTCCTGTGCTGTGTGTGCACTCAGCCTATTGAGCTGTGGCTCTGAGCCCCCCTTTTTACTAGTTTTTAGAACTCTTTACGTCCTTGCATGTATTTTTGGAATCTTGTTACACTTCTGGCTTTATTATTATTTTGGCCTAATGAAAATTAGGGGGAGATCACCTGAAGGGCTGGAGCATGTGCCATGTATGCAGGAACCCTGGGTTTCACCCCTCCGGCAGCACATGATGCCTGACAAACAGCACTGTAGCACTGTCCTCCCATTGTTCATCCATTTGCTCGAGCGGGCACCAGTAACGTCTCCATTGTGAGACTTATTACTGTGTTTGGCATATCGAGCTTGCCAGGCTCTGCCACGCGGGCGGGATACTCTTGGAAGCTTGCCAGGCTCTCCGAGAGGGATGGAGGAATCAACCCGGATCGGCCGCGGCAAGGCAAACGCCCTACCCGCTGTGCTGTCGCTCCAGCTCTCACAGACAGAATGTAGAGGAAAAGGTTTCCAAGTTGACTGTTGGGAGAAATGTGGTGTCCTGTTTTGTCTGTCCTGCAGTGAGCTGGAGGAGTCGCTGCTGGTGCTACCCTTCTCCTACGTCCCAGACATCCTCACGCTCTTCAACGAATTCATCCAGTGGGGCTCTGATATCGAGCTCCTGTGCCGCTGTCTCTTCTTCCTCCTCAGGTAACAACAGTGCCTTTCCCAAACACAGCAGTGTCGCTCGGTACCGTGACCCCAGTCACACCTCCGCTGAGGCAGCCCGTCCTGTGGAGTGACGAGCTCCGCTGTTCCCGACTCTCGGGCCGGGGCGGAACGCCAGCCCTTGACATGTTTAGCAAGCTGTTTGACATGCTTTCGTTGCTCGTGCCTTTTTCATTTTTCATTTTTTTATTTTCAGGGGCACCACTTGGTGGTGCTCAGGGAGCATCCGGGGTCCCGAGGATCGAACCTAGGCCCGCTGTGCACTTGGCAAGGGCCCAACTTGCTAGACTAGGCCTCTGGCCTGTGATGGCCCGTCTCTTTAAACCAGAGGAGCTAAGTCTTCTTTTTTAAGTCTTTATGTTATCATCAAACAGAGATGCTTTGGTTCAAGTCTTTTTGATAGTTTCTTCTGTTTGCTGTTTCGTGAGAAGCACTTAAAGCTTTGAAGTTCTTTAGAAGTATTAAAGCTATGTAAAGGTTTTATCATATCCTCAGAGACGCATTTTAAGCGTCAGTGGGTTTGTTTTCCAGGTCTCAGCAAGTAGGAATAGAAAGTTAAAGGCAGGGATACAAAGGTACTGAGAAACAGAGTCCAGTTGAGTTCACCGGATTATTTTAAGTATGACGAATTTTTATTAATGTCTATTGCAAGCATTTACAGAGGCATAGGAATATCTTCTGGCTTCCCATTCTCTGCCCCTTGGTCCCTTCTCAAGCTGTTACAGAGTAGACAGAGCCAAGCGTATCATTCCTTACCATGGTCATGGCACAGACAGACCTGGTCACCCACTACCAAACAGTTGAAAGAACCCAGAGGAGAGAGAGAACGTGATGCGGGAACCGGTTTCATGATTTGTAACCTCCGTTTCTGTTATCTGTCAGATAGTGGCCCCCCCAAAAGTGACAAGTTTATATTATTGCCGTACTTATAATTTGGGCAAATTATTAGGACACAAATTTCTAACACTTGGCTGATCATTTCCTGTTGCTGTGGCCTGTGTGCTATTGCAATACTTCACAGGAGGATGTGGCGGTTGGCTGGTGAGGGTAGGCCGGGTGTGGACTTGAGACGAGTAGAAGCTCTCGGTGTTCATCTTGGTCCTAAACATCACAGTTTGACTCTCGAGTTACATGACTGCCTCTTTTTTTTTTTTTTTTTTTTTTTTTTTTTTTTTTTTTTTTTGCTGGGGCTTAACTAGAAATTTTAATGTTTTTGAATTAGTATTTTTTAGAAGTCTCATGTTCTCCATGTTCTATTAATAACCATTGTTGGAAGCCGACTACTTGAACAGATTGCTGGGCAGAGTTCGCTTGGCAAATGAGCTGAACGTGTTAGAAGGTTTAGGGTGGTTAATTTTTTAACTGTCATTTTAAGTAGAATGGAAGAGTAGACAAGGAATTTTTTTTTAAGTTTGGGGCTTTGTTTTGGTTTTGGCTTCTTGCTAGAAAGATTTCTGCACTCCCACTATATAGTAAAACTAGTTATTTATTTTGATACTGTGTTTATTTGCCAACTCTGGACGGCATAAGTGGAGGCAAAACCCACTCTCTCTGTTTGCAGAATTAACTCTCAGTTTTCTACTAGGATTCACTTTGGACAGATCACTAGCAACCAAATGCTTGTGCCAGTGATTGAAAAATTAAAGGAAACGACTATTTCCAAAGTCAGCCAAGTCCGGGTAAGTATCTTTGTAGAGAAATGATGACAAGGAAAAAACCGACGTATGAGTGGTTTAGAAGTAACACGGGAAGCTGGGCCTAATCTCCAGGAGTGTGTGTCCTGCATATGCCTGTATTGATCCGTATTGGGTATTGGGGGGGAGGGGTGGAATAAAAGAACCCTAGACACAGAAGGATAGGTGGCAACGCCTTGAAGCAGGGGTTGCCAGCTCGCCTGTGTCTCTGTGTGGGAACTGATAGGAGAGGAAGTATTTGATGGCTCTCGTCTTGTCCCCAGGATGTGATTGGCTTCAATATGGCAGGCCTTGATTATCTCAAGAGGGAATGCGAAGCAAAAAGTGAAGTCATGTTTTTTGCTGATGCCACTAGCCAACTGGAGGAGAAAAAGAGGAAGAGGAAAAAAAGGGAGAAGCTGATCTTAACTTTGACTTAAGATGTAAACGTGGTGGTAGCTTCGACTTTTCCGTGTTGGACATCTCTGGATGGTTCCAGATTGGCCTGAAAGAATTCCAACCTGGAGGGCTCGCTCTCACTCTCTCTCCCTCGCTCCCTCTCTGCTCCCTCTGCTTCCCTTCCCTTCCTCTTCTCTCCTCTCCTCTCCTCTCTCCCTCTCTCTCCCTCACTCCCTCTGTCTCTCCCTCTCCCGCCCTCCCTCTCTAAAACCATGCTTAGTTTTGAAAAAGAAAAGAAAAGATTCCTTTGCTACCGAAGATCAAGCCTTGAGCCCTGTAGGACTTGTTCCCTTTATGTGCCAATAGAGAGCAGAAGATTTTTTCCAAATTAGGGTTTTTTTTCCCCCCACTGGATTTGAGATGAGCGTTTCCAAAGTTTTTCTTATTTGATGACAGATTTGTTGGCTTATTTACTACCTGTTTGTGTTAGGTCCTGCCTTCTACTGAAACAATCAGGTGTCTTAAATGATTTTCCTCAGTCCATTAATGCCTGGTAGCATGGGTGTAGAGACCTAAAAGGGGCTGTAAAGTTGATCTGGAACAGACAGCCTTAAATTTTACCTTGTAGATTGTTACATCTGTATATAAAAAGACCTTAGTTGCTGTTTATACTTCTCTAAATAAAATTGTTATTTCTAATTACAGAGTAGTCAAGTTGAGATTGCTTCCTAGGCTTCTTGATAATATGCTGCACGTGTGTGTGTGTGTGTGTGTGTGTGTGTGTGTGTGTGTGTGTCTGCACACGCGTGTGTGTGCTCACGCTCACATGTACACGGGCATGGTAGAAATTTGGGAAGAAAGAAATATTTTAGGAAAGGAACTTCACTTTTAGATCTATGCTTTTACGGGAACTTTTCTAATCACCAAGGTCCTAGGTCAACACCCTGCAGGAAGCTAAGTCCTGCCAACAGCTGCCTGAAAGCAAGCTCGTCCAAGTTGGACCAGAGTTCCCTGCAGAGCTGTGCATGGGTTCCTGGTTTACAGAAACACAAACATGCACTGCTTTATGTTTGAGCTTAGTTTATTTTGTAGCTTCATAACTTAATACCACTTCCCTATAGCAAGTTACCTAATCTAGTTGTGTTTTATACTTCAAATCTCCAAAATAGGCATAATAGGCAAAATAGGCATAATAGTTTAGCTCTGGTCAAAGTAAATACAAAATGTTGGGGCTGGGCGATATAGTACAGTGGGGAGGGCATTTTCCTTGCACATGGCCAACCCAGATTCAATCCTGAGTCCCATATGGTACCCCTGAACTTTGCCAAGTGTGACCCAAAAAGCCACCCCCTGTTAAAAAAAGAAACTACTGTTTTAACATAAGGAGACATACAAATTGCATCATTTTATAACAATTCCAATATAGGCACTACACCGTCCTCTCGTTGTTCATCGATTTGCTCGAGCGGGGCACCAGTAACGTCTCACAAATTGTGAGACTTGTTACTGTTTTTGGCATCTCGAACACGTCATGGGTAACTTGCCAGGCTTTGCTGTGCAGGTGAGACTCTCGGTAGCTTGCCGGGCTCTCCAAGAGGGGCGGAGGAATCAAATTCAGATCGGCCACTTGCAAGGCAAACGCCCTACCCGCTGTGCTATCGCTCCAGCCATCCAGTATAGGCACAAGTAGAAAATAGTAGAAATACATGTTAGCTCAGGGTGATAATAAATGTTAAAATGAAATGTTAAAATTTTAAAATGTTAAAATAAAATATGTATCTTTTTCTCGTATCACACCATGAGCAGAGGCATCAGAAGTAGCCTTGGTTTCTGGAGCAGTATAGCAGGGAGGGTGTTTGCTTTGCACGGAGCCAGTGGCCAACCTGGGTTCCATTACTGCACCCCATTTAGTTTCCTGAGTCCACCAGGAGTGAACTTTCAAGTCAGAGCCAGGAGTAAGTTCTGAGCACCACTGGGTATGCCCACCCCATCAAAAAAAATTTTTTTTTCCTATGTGACTGAGAATGTAGCCTGTCCACACGGCAGAGTCTGGCAAACTCCCCGTGGCGTACCCAATATGCCAAATACCAGTTAACAATGATGGGTCTCATTCTCCTAAAGAGCCTTGAATATAATCTCAGGGCTAGGATGAAGGAGACGTTACTGGGGCCTGCTCGAGGCAATCGACGAATAACAGGATGATTTGTGATTGTGATTGTGATGTGACTGAGAATGTGGCAATGTGGTGGTATAGCACAGGCCTGGTACGTGCGAAGCCCTGGTTCACTCCGCGATGGGGGGGAGGGACAGAGGGAGACATTTCTTCTTTTAGGCAGATCCATGAAATTATTGTTAGTAGATAAATGCCAATGGGAAATAGGAATGTTTTGAAAACTAATCCAGAGTTTTCATAATTGTCCATCTAGAGAAGCAAAAAGGCCCTCCCGTTGATCGTCGATTTGCTCGAGCGGGCCCAGTAACTTCTCCATTGGAGACTTTATTGTTACTGTGTCTGGCATATCGAATACTCTCGGTAGCTTGGCACAGCGGTAGGGCGTTCGCCTTACAAGCGGCCAACATGGCCGACCCGAGTTCGATTCCTCCGCCCCTCTCGGAGAGCCCGGCAAGCTACCGAGAGTATTCGATATGCCAGACACAGTAACAACAAAGTCTCCAATGGAGACGTTACTGGGCCCGCTCGAGCAAATCGACGATCAACGGGAGGGCCTTTACCTTTACCTTTACCTTTAGAGAAGCAAATGTCCCTTCTCGGTTTGGGGTCATAGCATCTGGAAGTCACCGCAGAAACACTGGGATAAACTTTGCTTTCACTCCCTGGTTTCCGAAGTGTCCAAGAATTTAGGGGTCCTCGATGTCCTCTTAAAGGGGGGTCAGAAATATTTTCAGAGCTATTAAAATGTCTGCTGGATTGAATAGTACTGTAAACAAACGGATGTCAGCTCAGGAACTGGAAATGTGATGTTAATTAGAAATAGAACTTTTACAAACTCCATTAGTTAAAACGAGGCCAAGCTAAATGCGGATGAGTCCTAAATCCAATGGCTGGTATAAAGAAAATATATTCTGCTCACCGCCAAGAGCTAGGACAGAGGCCAAACTGGATTTCTCCTCAGTCCCAGATGTAGGTAATAAGGTGCGACTGTGACAAGTTCCTAAAATGTAGACAGGGCTTTGGCATTGAGAAAGAGGTAAATAAAGGAGGAATTTTGAGGTGCGAGATGGAAAAAGGCTCATTTCAACGAGGATGAAAGCCCAAAGCACCGGAGTGCACACTACACGCAGGATCCCAGGGTCGGTCCTTGGCATTTGCAGGGGCCCCGGGCCTGCCAGCAGCGGCCCCCCAGCACCAGGCTGGGAGTAGTCTCCAAGCGACACAAGTAGCACTGTAGCACTGTCCTCCCGTTCATCGATTTGCTCGAGCGGGCACCAGTAACGTTTCAATTGTGAGACTTGTTACTGTTTTTTGGCATTTCAAATACGCCACGGGGCGCTTGCCAGGCTCTGACGTGCAGGCGGGATACTCGGTAGCTTGCCAGCCTCTCCGAGAGGGACAGAAGAATTGAACCCCTGTCGGCCACGTGCAAGGCAAATACCCTACCCACTGTGCTATCACTCTAGCTTGATTTCTATGGTATCTGGGGCATATCCCCTTTTATTTCTTCTGATCTTTCTTAGCATTTTCTTTTCCCTCTGTTGACACAGGTATAGACTTTAGGGATTTCTTTTCTATATCTTTCTAAAGAGAGTTTTCAGGATTACTATGAATAGTGTTGTTAAAAATACGAACACTAGGGCCCAGAGAGATAGTACAACTGCTAAGATAATTGCCTTTCACACAACCGACCCACAATCAAGTCTCAAAAACACCATGTGATCTTCCATCTTCCCAGCAGCAAACCCTGAGCACTGCCAGGTGTGGCCCCAGTGCTAGCCCTCCCACCCCATACCAGAAAAAAGGAAATATGAACAGTTGGTCCTAATTAGATGCAAAAAAAAAAAACTGATTGTAGAAAAGTGATCCCTGTTAAAATGTGATGGGCAGTGTGACTAAGTCATGTTCTGCTTTTGAAGGAAAGGTAGGATGTATTCCAAGAACTGGGCTCAACCACGTGGGGAAGGACAGAGGACAGTTGATACAGTGGTCAAAGTTGTGCTGGAATATTCTATGAATGTACCCACTCAAAAGCATTTTAAATCATGGTACCTATAAAAAAATCAATATTATTTGATATTTTGGGGTTTGGACCACACCCAGTGGTGCTCAGGGCTTACTTCTGGCTCTGCACTCAGGTTTATCACTCCTGGTGGACTCGGAGGATCATGTGTGGTTTGGAGGATCAGACCTAGGTCTGCCCATGCAAGTCAAGCCCCCTATTCACTTGACTATCTCTTCTACCCTCTGCCCCTATAGCACAGCGGTAGGGCATTTGCCTTGCACGCAGCCAGCCCGGCCAAACCGGGTTCGATTCCTCCGCCCCTCTCAGAGAGCCTGGCAAGCTGCCGAGAGTATTCAATATGCCAAACACAGTAACAAGAAGTCTCACAATGGAGACGTTACTGGGCCCACTCGAGCAAATCGATGAACAACGGGAAGACAGACAGTTTAAGTAGGATTTGAGGACATTGAACTTGGGTTGGAGCGATAGCCCAGCAGGTAGGGGGTTTCCCTTACATGTGGCCAACCCAGCCGACCCAGGTTCGATTCCTCCTCCCCTCTCAGAGAGCCCAGCAAGCTACTGAGAGTATCTCATCCGCAGGGCAAAGCCTGGCAAGCTCCCCGTGATGTATTCAATATGCCAAACACAGTAACAACAAGTCTCACAATGGAGACGTTACTGGGCCCACTCGAGCCAATCAATGAACAGCGAGAGGACAGTGCTACAGTGCTGGAATTGAAAAAGACTTCTGAGGATGCTGGAATGAGGTGAATCAAGGATGCATAAAGGAATCAACCCTGCTAACACCTTAATTTCACTCCTGAATTGAAAGACAATAAACATTTGTTGTTTTAAGCCATATCAAACCATGCTAGTTTGATATGGCAGCTGTAGGAAGCTGTTTCTCCTATGGACACACAGAGTTTTCAGTAGCTACATGATGTGCAATAGATTGGATACAGACAATTTAAAAAATACAAGTATGGGGGGCCGGAGAGATAGCACAGCGGGTGGGGTGTTTGCCTTGCACGCAGCCGACCCGGGTTCGATCCCTGGTATCCCATATGGTCCCCCAAGCACTGCCAGGAGTAATTCCTGAGTGCAAAGCCAGGAGTAACCCCTGAGCATTGCTGGGTGTGACCCAAAAAGCAAAAAAAAAAAAATCCAACTATGTTCTTAAAAATTCATTTTTTTAATTAAAAACTCATTTGCTTATCACTTTTACAAAAGTCTTAAATATTTTAGGTTTAATTCTAATTGGGTTAATGTTCATAACTACAACTAAGAGAAGTAAAAGTTCTGTGGTATCCTTAATTTTTAAGAATATTTGATAGGTGGGGCTGGAGCGATAGCACAGCGGGTAGGGCGTTTGCCTTGTACGCAGCCAACATGGCTGACCCAGGTTCGATTCCCAGCATCCCATATGGTCCCCCAAGCACCGCCAGGAGCAATTCCTGAGTGCATGAGCCAGGAGTAACCCCTGAGTATCGCCGGGTGTGACCCAAAAAGCAAAAAATATATATATATATTTGATAGGGTGGGGCCAAGGACAGTACAGAGGCCTAGCATGCTTGCCTTGCACGTGGCCAATCCTGATCCCCAGCATTCCATTTGGTACTCAGAAGATTCCAGGACTGATCCCTGAGCACAGAGCAAGGAGTGTGGCCCCAAAAACCAAAGAAAAAATATTTATAAGAAGGACTGAAGAGATGGTACAGGTGGTAAGGCACTTGCCCTGTATGTGATGGACTCTGATCTGATCCAAGCACTACTGCGTACGGCCCCAAAATAAAGCAAAGCATAACAATTATACACACACACACACACACACACACACACACACACACACACACACATGAGTTTCAAGGAAAAGGTGTGGACACGCGGGACTCAAACATTTGGTGATCAAGAGCCGTTCCCCCTGGCCAGCCCACAGCGATGGACGGACCCCTGGCCAGCCCCTGGCAAAGGACCAGGGAATGGAGAAACAGGACCCCAGGTTTGTTGGTAGTCAGTTTATTTCTCTCTTCTCCCCAGTGTAGTCCAATCTCTCCCTTACAGCACAATCATGGTCGTAGTTTTGGTCCCAGTCCCAGTTATCATAGTTCCTTCATCCTAGTCTTCATCCTAGTCCTCCTCCTAGTCCTTATCCCCTTTTTTTCCCCTTGCAGCATAGTTATGTAGAAATCATAAAGGGTGGGGGTACACATAGGTGGGGTTGAACATTGTCATAACAGATGAAAAGCCACTCCTTCAGGGGAAGTTCTAGGGGATTAACTCAAGGAGAAGATCTCATCTGAGGGTTCGGCTCTCCAGATTACTAGGAGATCTGCTCAAGGGCAGGATTCCATCCAGGGTGTATTGCTTTCTCCTTTCCTCAGCTAGTAATCCATTTAAACAGTTATTGTAAATGTGCTTCTCATAATATTTCTAGTCATGTTGTATGAACACAGTAAGATATCTATTAAGTTTAAAGGAAAGAAAGAAAGAAAGAAAGGAAGGAAGGAAGGAAGGAAGGAAGAAAGAAAGAAAGAAAGAAAGAAAGAAAGAAAGAAAGAAAGAAAGAAAGATTCTCCCGTTGTTCATCGATTTTCTCGAGTGGGCCCAGTAACGTCTCCATTGGAGACTTTGTTGTTACTGTGTTTGGCATATTGAATACATCACGGGTAGCTTGCCAGGCTCTGCCGTGCGGGCGAGATACTCTCGGTAGCTTGCCGGGCTCTCCGAGAGGGGCGGAGGAATCGAACTCGGGGCGGCCATGTTGGCTGCATGCAAGGCAAACGCCCTACCACTGTGCTATCGCAGAAGCCCTTTAAGTTTAAAGGTTGGTTCTTCCTGGGGACATCTGGCTTTATATCCTAGACTACAGTCCTCAGGCCAGGTTAGTCTTTCCTAACCCCAGCAGGGTCCTTATTCAGTTACTTCCTTTTAGGTCATGACAGAATTTGTCCATGACAGTGTTCTTAACTTATATGCTTCTTACGGTACTTAGCTTGTCCCTTTCCTATGCCAGGGTAGCTTACAGCTTGTCCATCCAGACCCTTCGTCAGGACCCTCCTTTTGGGGGTGCTAGGAATAGAGGCAACTGAGGCTTAAGTAAATATGATGGGTGCCCAAGAATAGATATTATCTGAAGTCAGTTAACTCCCATCTTACAAAGTATAGCATCAACTGTCTTCCTGTGTCTATTAAAGAAAGGACATTGCTAAACCATGCAAAGGACATAAAGGAAAGAGAAAAGCAATATAGGATTATTAGTGCTTGGTGGGATTGGGTGTGCCCCAGGAGCACTGTTGTGGGAGTAACTCAATAAACCTAAGCTCCCAGGGGGAGGAGCAGGGACAACCTAATTTTATCCAACATAAACATATGTGCACACACACATACATAACACATTTTAAATCCAAAACGTTTTTTAAAAATCACTGGGCTTGAGTTTCTCAAGTTCAAAAAGGCATCCTAGTGTGTATGTTTTTGCCTCTGCTCTTTGTAAGGTAAGTAAGTAAGTAAAGGCCCTCCCTCCCGTTGATCGTTGATTTGCTCGAGCGGGCCCAGTAACATCTCCTTTGTGAGACTTGTTGTTACTGTGTCTGGCATATCGAATACGTCACGGGGAGCTCGCCAGGCTCTGCCGTGCGGGCGAGATACTTTCGGTAGCTTGCCGGGCTCTCCGAGAGGGGCGGAGGAATCGAACTCGGGTCGGCCGTGTTGGCTGCATGCAAGGCAAACGCCCTACCCGCTGTGCTATCGCTCCAGCCCTGCTCTTTGTAGGGTCAGTTAAACATCACTGAAAGGAATGAACTTGAGAATCAGCTTGAAAAAGGCTAATATTACATCTTCCACTTAATTCTCTGGCCTCAGATTCCTTCATCTAGAATGGGAAGGTAAGATCCTAAGAGTCACCTGAGGATTAGATATTGTACACATAAAGGACGTTATTTTACTGTTATTTAAAAGTATTGTCGGGGCTGGAGCGATAGCACAGCGGGTAGGGCGTTGGCCTTGCACGCAGCCAACATGACCGACGCAGCTTCGATTCCCAGCATCCCATATGGTCCCCTGAGCACCGCCAGGAGCAATTCCTGAGTGCATGAGCCAGGAGTAACCCCTGAGCATCGCCGGGTGTGACCCAAAAAGCAAAAAATAAATAAATAAATAAATAAATAAATAAAAGTATTCTCATTCCACTAGGCTAAGCGGTTCTTTGCTTTGGGGCTGAAAGAAGAGAGAGAACAAACTGAGGTCTAAAGATAGTCTGCATGAATACCAACCAGGCCCCCGTTTATTACTTACTTTATTACTTACTGGATCTAATGAGAAATCCTGCGAGACATGATGACTCCAAGTGAGGGAGGAGCAATTTTAGTAGTCCTTGTGGCCACGGGTTTGTGTCTTCCCTGGGGAAAACTCCTGTTTGCTCTCCGAGCATAGTTGCTGCTTGGTAAAATTGGTAAAATACTCATTAAGGACAGTGACATCACAACCAAATGATTTGTGAATATAAACTCCGGATAGCAGCTTAGAATCAGAATCTCCTCTCAGTATCATTACTCCATTTCAAGTCCTGTGCTCCCTACCACAAATTCTACATGCTCAGGCTTTGGGTATGACAGATGGATACTGATCTCTTAGCATTTCTTATTTTTTTCTAGTTGATATTTCTCTGCTAACTCTGATCTTTCTATGGAATCCTTCCATCACCAAAACCAGGCCCCATGCTGTGTCCACATCCAGTAAATTAAAGCTTTCCATCTCTTTCTCTGCCTAACCGGGGTCAGAGTGGGATGAAGGTATCTCCAAGCAAGGATATTAAATTTTGATTTCTCCTGGCTCTGTGCTCAGGAGTCATTCCTGGATGGGGCTCGGGGACCATGTAGGTGCCTGGGATGGAACGTAGGTCTGCTGTGTGCAGTGCTCAGGTCTAGGGACCTTGAGGTTCCAGGGATCAAACCTGGGGCCTTTATGCAAGCAAGGCTTGTGTGCAAATCTTTGTCACTGACCTGGCCCCCACACTTTGAGTTTTTAGGTCCTTTTGCTTCCTTTTATCAATGAATTCTATCTCAGATGTTGTCTCTCTCAAATATCTTTCATCCATTCCCCTCTTCATGTTCACTGGTGGATCTAGGGTTTCTGTTTTCACATTTGGTCTCCTGAATCTGCTTTATAATGATTCTTTGATTATTCTGTCTCTATTCTCCTTCAGCATAACCCCACACAATTGTACTTGATTCATTTATTTTTAAGATATTGATTAAACAGTCCATTGGAACAAAAATATTCAATGAGTGTGACTGCCTAGACAAAAAAAAATTAAACGAAAGATTAAAAAATCTTTCACTACTTACTGAGCCTGGCAAGCTACTGGTAATGTATTCGATATGCCAAACACAGTAACAACAAAGTCTCCAATGGAGACATTACTGGGCCCGCTCGAGCAAATCCATGAACAACGGGACGACAGTGACAGTGACAGTGACTTACTTCCATCCAGTTTTCTTACTGTAATTCTATGTCCCTAACTTCTCACAAAGTGACTCCTAACTGGCCCATGCACATATCTAGAACTTTCCTCTTGTTAGGGGCTTGTCCATTCTAGTCTATGTATCATTTCATCAAAAGTTTTTGCATTCTAGGGACTGGAGAGAGAGCACAGCAGGTAAGGTGTTTGCCTGGCATGCGGCCGACCCGGGTTCGATTCCCAGCATCCCATATGGTCCCCTGAGCACCACCAGGAGTAACTCCTGAGTGCAGATCCACGAGTAAACCCCTGTGCATTGCCGGGTGTGATCCAAAAAGGAAAAAAAAAGTTTTTGCATCCTATAAGATACAATTCAAAACATAAAAAATAGAAGCTGGAGAGACAGTAGAGTGGGTGGGGCACTTGCCTTGCATGCAGCCAAGCCAGGTTCCATCCCTAGCATCCCAGGTGGTCCTGGGAGCCTACCAGGTCTGATCTCTGAACACAGAGCCAGGAGTAATCCCTAAGCACTGCTGAGTGTGATCCTTCCCACCCCCAAACAACTCCTTTGTTTTATTATATATAAACAAAGTAATATATGATTCATGTTACTGGAGTACAAAATAAAGAAATCAAGTGACAAGATTTTATTTCTGCCACCAGTCTATTATAAAAATAATCTATTTTTATTTCTATCACGATCACGATCATCCTTTTGTTCATCGATTGCCTCGAGCAGGCCCCAGTAAAGTCTCCTTCGTCCTAGCCCTGAGATTTTTTTAAAAAGTGCCATATTCAAGGCTCTTTCAGGGTTAGGAGAATAAGACCCATCATTGTTACTGGTAGTTGGCATATTGGGTACGCCACGGGGAGTTTGCCAGACTCTGCCATGTGGGCAGGTTACATTCGAGAGCCTGCCAGTTTGTCCAAAGTAGGATGAGATAATAAGATAATAATAAGAGCTGGGTTTTATTTTATTTCTATACTCAATACTACACTTGATCTTAGCCGAAAGGTCGAGGGCTAGAGCGATAGCACAGCGGTAGGGCGTTTGCCTTACAAGCGGCCAACATGGCCAACCCGAGTTCGATTCCTCCGCCCCTCTCGGAGAGCCTGGCAAGCTACCGAGAGTATTCAATATGCCAGACACAGTAACAACAAAGTCTCCAATGGAGACGTTACTGGGCCCGCTTGAGCAAATTGACGATCAACGGGAGGGCCTTTACCTTTACCTTATACTCAATAAAATATTTGATACAGTACATACACAGCTCCATATAACAAGCACCTGATGTCTGTATATCTATACATGAATGATTAATGTAAAAAGGTATCACATATCATAATATTGGATTTTTTTAAATTAAAAAGATGCTTTTCTGTGCCAGACAGAGAGAGAATACACGGGTTAAGGTGACTGTTGGGGCTGGAGCGATAGCACAGCGGGTAGGGCGTTTGCCTTGCATGCAGCCAACCCGGGTTCAATTCCCAGCATCCCATATGGTCCCCCGAGCACCGCCAGGAGTAATTCCTGAGTGCATGAGCCAGGAGTAACCCTTGTGCATCGCCGGGTGTGACCCAAAAAGCAAAAAAAAAAAAAAAAAAAAAAGGTGATTGTCTTACATGCAGCTGACCTGGGTTCATTTCCTGGCACTACACATGTTCCCTCAACCATTAGCAGAAGCGACCCCTGAGCACTGCTGAGTACAGCCCCCAAACAAACAACAACAAAAAGCCTTTCTAAACATTTTGACACCCCATAAGCTAATAGTATCAACACAGTTCCATGTGCCAGCCCTTTACTAGTTGACTTCAAAGATGAATAAAGATAGTCTTTGTCCTAAAATTTTTAAGTCTGGGGCAAGAGAACTAGTACAGCAAGCAGGTAAGGTGCATGCAGGAGACCTGAGTTCGAATCCCAGTATCCCCTATGGCCCCCCGAAGACCACCAGGAGTGATTCCTGACTGCAGAGCCAGGAGTAAGCACTGCCAGGTGTGCCTCCCCCACCCCAACCTTCAAAAGAAAATTGTCTATTTTTTTGTTTATAAACAGCTCCATTTTTAATATAATTTACTATAGATACTATATGGATGTAAAGCATTTTTCATCATAACATTTTGTAGTTTTCCTTTTATAAATAAAGTAAAAAAAAAACAAATTAAAAGCTAACTCATATTTGGGTAGTTTTCCTACCCTACCCTTTCTCTGTCAATAATCACAGAGAATCTATTGCTTGAAAATAATAAGAAAAGTTCCTATTTAAGTCCCTAGTAGAGAGAGGATGTGGTTACATCCATGTCCTCGAGTTTAACAGCTTTCTTCCTCTAGTAATTGGTTTTACGGATAGAACTGATGAAAATACAATATATCAGGGTGAAGTGGTTAGGTAACAGCATTCCGTTTCCATGTTTTCCTTGCTCAAATGCTGTTTTTGTACTAATGTGACTAAGCGTGTGAAACTCTAAAGGATATTGGCTTCCACAGGCAGAAGCAAGACGTCATGCTCTGTCGTGATCTCAATATTGTAAGAGAGGTGTAAGGCTCCATTGACAACTTCCTCTCCAACAGCCATGGCAAATAGTTCCACCTTCAGTTCCGTCTGCAAGCCAGCTGCCACCTACAAGACACAACCTAGTGTTACAATTAAACACGGCTGAGTTCAGTTCTTGGTTTCAACACTAAGGTGAGCATGATACACAATGCTTCTAGGAGCCAGGGAAAGGGAGCAGAAGTGCAAGGATTAGGGTGCATGCCTCACACTCCAACTCATTCTGGTTTGATTCCCAGTATCACACAGCTCCCCAGGACTCACCATGTGTAGCTCTGGAAGTTCCCAAACATTGATAGGTGTGGCCCTGACGGACCTCATGTGGTCTCTGATGGACCTCATATGGTCTCTGTCACTGCAGGCCCAGGCATCCTTGCATCCTGGGACCCTAGAATTCAGCCATTGCCCCATTGGCTGAAAATCAGTGGGAGCGATCCTGGACCCCTGAACATTGCTTGGGAGGTAACACACACACATAAATTTTTTTGTTAAAAAAAACAACCCTTCTATAATCTTTTGTTTGTCATCTATAACCTGGGCAGTAATAGCTGTCAACAGCATCTAAAAGAAATGTTTTTCAGGAGAATTAGCTAGAATTTTAACTAAGTAGAAATGGGGACCTGGGATAAATTATTGAAGGACAAAACCTGTGCTTGCTATTTAGAAAAGAAGCAAGTTTGATAACATTGGTTTGTTCTCGATTAGGTTTATTGAGTTACTCCCCCCAAAAGCATTCCCAAGGCCCAATTCCATCAAGCACTAATAATCCTATACTGCTTTTCTCTTTCCTTTATGTCCTCTGCATGGTTTAGCAATGTCCTTCCTGTATAGACACAGGAAGACAGTTGATGCTATGCTTTTGTAACGTGGAAGTTAATTGATTCTGAATAATGTTTACTCCTGGAAATCTTTCATATTTACTTAAGTTTCAGTTACTCTTTGTTCCTAACAAGCCCCAAATAGGGTCCCAGCAAAGGACTTGGATGAAACCAGGGCAAGTTGTAAGCTAACCTGGCATTGAAAAGGGATAAGCCAAGTGCCATAAAACTTATAAGTTAAGAGCACGGTCATGGATAAACTCTGTAATGACCCAAAAAGAAGTCACTGGATAAGGACCCTGGGGTTAGGAAGGACTAACCTGGACTGAGGACTATAGTCCTCAGATATGTCCTCTGCAAAATGTCCCCATGAAAGCCACCCCTTAAACTTAACATATCTCTTACTGTGTCCATACAAATCACAAATCACAAATCATCCTGTTATTCGTCGATTGCCTCGAGCAGGCCCCAGTAACGTCTCCTTCATCCTAGCCCTGAGATTATATTCAAGGCTCTTTAGGAGAATGAGACCCATCATTGTTACTGGTATTTGGCATATTGGGTACGCCACGGGGAGTTTGCCAGACTCTGCTGTGTGGGCAAGCTACATTCGGTAGCCTGCCAGTTTGTCAAAGTAGGAATGAAATGTCATAATAAGATGTTGCGTGGCCGCGAATGCGGCCGTGCGGTTCCAGGAACTGGTTTTTATAGTCTCTGAGTCTTGGCCGCTGATGGGATTACACGGAGCCAGGGGGCCAGTTGGTGGGTGTGACCCCCGCCTACTGGAATTTGGAGGATCTGGGTGGAGGATGCTCGACTCCAATCCGAGTAGGCTTGAAGATCTCGGCCCCAGAACCCACGTGGCTTTGTCCCTCTGCCGGTACCATACAAAATGACTAGACATATTACTGAGAAGTAAATTTAAGATGACCATTTAAATGGGTCTGGAAAGGGGAAAGTAATATACCCTAGATGGAATTCTGTTCTTGGGTGGATCTCCTCGCAGAATGAAATTTTGTCCTAGAAACTTCCCCTGAAGGAAGGGCCTTACATGTGTTGATTGTACAACCACACCTACGTGTATTTGCTACCCCCAACTCCAGGGATTATCTCGATTACTAAGGATGTGATGCTAGCATGGGGAGACGGGAAAGAGGGGTAGTGTGAGACTGGAATGGGGCTCGCAGTGAGACTGGAATTGGCGGGCGGGAGAAAGGAATAAAAGTCGGGACAGAGATTGGCATAAAGGGAAGCTGGTTGCCAACCAGTTTGGCTGCCCTGTTTCCTCATTCATGTGTCTGTTGGCAGTGGCGGCTGGCCAGGATGGGGACATGGCTCTTGACCACCAAACAAGTGTGTTGAACACCCACTTTTTGAGCACACAGAAGCATGCTCATATATGTACAGACACCATACACACAGAGCACACTCACACAGAAAGAGAAAAATTAAATGCTCAGACACTGGCGATAGTACTGAAGGCACATTAATTCTTTTCAGGTGTTGGAGAGATGGTACAGCAAGTACGGTGCTTGCTTTGCCCTTGGCCAACCAGGGTTCAATCCCTATTACCACATATGGTTCCCCACCACTGCTAGGAGTGATGCCTGAGCACAGAGCCAGGAGTAATCCCTGCACACAACTGGTATTAGGCCTAATATCAACCAAGTGATCAATAAGTCAATAAATAAAAACTCGATTTTCAATGTGTTTTGGTTTTGTCAGGAGTGCCGGTATTGAACCCAAGGCCTTAACCAGGTGGGTCTTGTGCTTTACTGTGAAACCATTTCCCTGACCCCTGAAAGCACAATTTTATAATGCCTATAATTGTGCTATTTTTCAAATGCCAGTGGTGATAGATAAATTTTAATCTGAGACCATAAAAATTTAATTTTAAATTCTTTAATACTGCCCCTGATGCATACCTACCATAGTCACACTTCAATGTGGTTTAATTAACATAAATTTTCTGTCCTGGTGTCAATGTGTTAAACTTTTTTTTTTTTTTTGCTATTATTGTGGTAACATGGTTTACAATACAAAGTCACTGCACCTTCACCAGCACCAATGTGCAAGAGACCCACCATCACTGTCCTGATGTCAGTTCTCGTCTAGCTTCATGTCTGCCTTGAGTGGGAATCTCATTTCTATTGTCAGGGTTTGTTTTAATTTTCCATTGTTCATTCCCTTTCTTTCTTTTTCAAAAAGATTTTGATTGTCACCTGCAGTGCTCAGGGTTTACTACTGGCTCTGTGCTCAGGGGACCTATAGTATACCGGATATTGAACTGAACCCAGGTGGATCACAAGCAAGGGAAACACCTTAACTTCTGTACTATTGCTAAGACCCCATTCTTTATTTCTTTAACGTAACATACATGAATGAGACCATCAGCATTTGTCCTTCATCTTCTGACTTGGCTAGTTTCATCTAAGTTGTAGTAAAAGACAGGATGGAATTTTGTACTTTCTTCTGAGTAGTATTCCACTGTGTATATATATCACAAGGTCTTTGTCCATTTATATGTCACTGGACATTTGGATTGAATCCGGATCTTAGACATTATAAAGAGTACTTGCAATGAACACAAGTGTGTTTGCATCTATATGAGTTACTGGTTTTGTGTTCTTGAGGTTGATACTAAGAAGTGAAATCAGTGGGTCATATGAGAACTCTATTTCAAAGTTTTTGAGAAGTAACATACTGTCATAGAGGCTGAGTAAGATGGTCCCACCACCTCCAGTGAACGAAGCTTCCTTTCTTTTTTATATCTCTGCCAGTACTGATTTTTTTTTTGAAAAGGACTGAGTGGAATCAGTCCTTTTTAAAAAATCATAAGTGTTTATTTAGCAAAAATGTTCAAGAAAATGTGTGCAATCTAATTTTATTTCACAGTAAAAAGATGCAATGGAGAAGACAGGTTGAAGCACCTGATTTCCCTAAATACAAGCATTACTTTTACTTGTTTCAAGTCTTCTTACCACTTTCTCATTTAACAGCTATTTCAATATTGTTCCACTGCCCACTTATTGCCTTTTATTTCCACACATTTATCTATCAGAATATTCACAAAGGAACCCAACTCACGCAGCATTTCTTGGACATGTCTGCCACCATTTAATTTCAATGATAACTTCTTGCCATAATTTTAGAGTTGATCTACTGGACACCAGAACTACTTCCAAACTAGCTTCCTCTGGTTAGAGCTATGTTCTCCACATTCCTTAAGATCCAAATTTGGTGCAGCTCAGGACTTGCAGATACAGAATTGGGATATTTAACAACTTGGGAGGATACAATTTGCTCCTGGTGTCCACACAGAGGCTCAGACATCCCCAGATAAAATCTGTGGTCTATTTCCAGTGTTTTTGATACAGAACATCCTCACTGATGATTTTTCAACTGTTTTCACCTCACTGGTGAAAACTATTTTCATATGCCTGTCAGCAATCAGTATGTCTTCTCTGAGATAGTATTTCTTAAGATCCTCTCTCCATTTTTTGATGGAGTTGGTTTTGTTTTTGTTTGTTTGGCAGAACTTGTACAATTCTGTGAGTGTTTCATGTATCTTGGATATTAGCCCTTTGTCAGATGCATAGTATATGAATATTTTCTCATCCAGTAGGGTATTTTTTAATGTTAGCCATATTTTTTTCATTGTGTAGAACTTTTTTTGTTGAATCCCATTTGTTTATTTTTTTGTTTGACTTTTTAGGGTTATTAGGAAAAAATTCTGTACCTTCAATTCTCTGGAAAAGCTTGAAAAATACAGAACAAATTCTCTCAAGTTTTGATAGAAATCACTAATGTACCTGTGTGAACTTGAATTTTTGTTCTGGAGATTATTTTTCCCCCAATTTCCCTTACTAGTAATTGATCTATGCCAGTGTCCTACTTCTACTTCCTCCTGATTTAGCTTTGAATGATTGTATGATTCTAGAAGTTTATTCATTTCTTCTAGGTTCTTCAGTTTAATAACATAAAGTCGGTCATAATAGATGCTTGAAATCTTATTTTTCTGCAGTATCTGTTGTAATCTTTCTATTTTCATTTCTGATTCAATTTATTTTAGAATTTCCCCTTTCATTTCTGTCATGAGTCTAGCTAAGAGTTTGTTAATTTTGTTTATTATTTTTTTATAAAACATAGCTCCTTGTTTTGTGAAATTTTATATTACTTTATTGGTTTTCATATCATTGATTTTCGTGGGAAGGGGGCATAACTGGTAGTGGTTAGGTCTTACTTCTGGCT